TCATCCGAGCTTAGACATATATAGCAGCCAAATACTCGAAACGCAAGTGGAGGAGCAAACCAGAGGACCGGAAGAAAAATCCACGCGACCATGGGGGAGAGAGAGAGATACGCAAACTACATTTTCACGGTCGGGATCGAACCCACGACCTCTATACCAGGCGAGGTAGTTAACATCTCGCCACTGTGGATTCGTCGGAACTCGGCTTGATTATCACTTGAGTCAGGCTCCGGCCCAGCTTTGGTCCGCTTATGACGAGACGTGGAAACGCGGGGATTCGGAGTTCACCGTCTGGTCTCGTTTGCTCAGGCTGCCAGCTGGGGCTGCAAGCAGATCTTGCTGGAAGAGCTGAAGAGGAAGCTGTCTCACAAGGCGGAAGTGCGCACTGCGTGTGACTCCCAGTGCATTGCATGCTGCTTTTCTTTGTGCAGTGCTAAATTGGGATTGTGTAGACCAGGGGTTGGCAACGTATCAAAGAAGAAGGGCCATTTTTTTTAGTTTTCTGTCTTTCTGTCTTTTTGTCTTTTTGTCTTTTTGTGTTTGACCAAAATCGTTAGAGAGCCGAATCACACGTGGAGCTGCTGGTACATGAACACAAACATGGCCAGGTATACAGCAGCCACCGCATGCGGCTTCGGAGCCGCAGGTTGCCAGCCCCGGGTGTAGCCAAGCCTGCTGGGGGTGGCTGCTTTGCCCCCCGTGTGTGTGTGTGCTGCTGGGTATTAGTGTTGACGTGTGCCTGGTTGGACGGGTGCAGCCGATTGCATGTTGAAATGCTTTTTTTTTACTAACCTCGTGCCATTACTGTGCAAGCAATACATTTGTAATACAGAGGTATGTCCACATCAGGGAGTGTCAAACGTTTTGGATGAAGTCAAAGTTCTTTGGCAATCTTTATGCAAACTACATTCTCAGTGGACGGATAAACTTTAAAAAAACACAAATGGGTCCTGTTTATTACATTCTCAAAACAATAGCGATTCACTGCAATGTGGCACTATGAGCCTGCTTGTGTAAATTAGAAGTCTGACATTCTGCCTTTAAATTCTTGCTGCAGGGTGAAGTGCCACCATCACATGTTTTAACCCCCCTCCCTCTTTGTGCTGAGCTCCAGAGACGAACATTGTTGAGCTGCGTGTCCAGCACGGAGAAGCCCTCTTTCCAAGTAGAGAGGGGCCTCCAAGTTGGGGGGGGGGGGGGTGACCTCACCACTGTGCTGACTTTGCCGAAAAGTCACTCGCTGAAAATGTCAAATCGCTTTATTTTTCATGACTTGTAGCCAATGATACACAGCTTTCGTACCCCACCTACAATTTGGCACTATTTTTTTTGGTTGGGTTGCATCTTGGTTTACTAAACTTTCACAATGCAAGGTGATTTTTGATTAAAGCGAATATAAGCGGAGCTCGTTTCTGTTTCTCTGCACGTAATTATAAACTTTTAATCCTGCAGCCTGTTGGCTTTTCAGACAAAGCTTATCAAGCAGCAACTGTTCAAGAAAGCAGATTGGACCAGTTTCGACCTTATGGGTCTCATCAGTAGTCGACCAAATGCCGCTGAATTCTGAGATAATATTGGCAAGAGCACTGCAAAGAAACAATGCGTATGTGCCAAGCGTTTTTTGTGGTTATCTCACCTTGGGGAACGAGTGTGTGACACACTGCAGACGGACGCTAGAGTGCAGCGTGCAAGGTAGTTTAGGGTTGAGTAAATTGTTACCCGGATGATCCTGTTCAGCCAGTCGTCTGGCTATATTACAAGGTAGATCTGTGTTGTGTGTGCACAGTGACAAGAAAAACAAAAGACAAAAACATTAAATATGGCAGAGAACAAGAACAGGCTCCCTGAGGAATAATGCACACCTAACAAACGAGGTATTTGACCATTGTAAACGAAACACAAAAGTACAACAAAATGCAGTGCAATTATATAATGAAAGCAAGAGGCATCAGGACAAGTGAGGGGATATGAAGAGGAGGGGGGGGGGGGGTGAAGAGCTGGAACCAAGCTCGAGATGAGCGGCAAGGGTATTCCAGAAACGTGGAGCAGCAACGCAGGAACTTTTTACCAAGCAAAGTTTTAGCAAATTGAATGTTTAGTCGGACTAACGAGGCACTTCTGAGGCTACAGGAGGGAGTTAGAATGAACGAAATGGTCTTTTAAGTAATTGGCAAATTGGCTTAAGAGGACCCTTTAGGATGAAGACAGCCCAGTGATGGTCTCTCCAGATATCCAAGGGGGACAGAATTGAGTTAATGTGCAGGTTGTGATGAAGACTTGTACAAGAGGCGTCAAGGGCAAAACGGAGAGGGGAGTTGTAGAATGGAATGAAACTTTTAAGGTGGATTCGGGAGCGGTAGAGGGTGTCGCAACAATCAAATGTGGGCAAGGAATGGTTTCTTTAACTGTGTTCATAAAGAGTCGAGGTGGAATACAGCGTCTGTTTCTGTACAGGAATCCAGTTTGTTTTTTTAGTATCTTATTGGCCATGTCATCAACGTGCATCTTGAAAACACGGTTTTGAGTACAAGATAACGCCTAGATGTTTAAAGTTCTCGATCTGCTCAATAAGGTGCGAGTCTAAAGCCACAATATACGTTGGTGGGGAGACAGGTTTTTTGGAGAACAGCCGCAGGATAACATCACTTTGGTATTTTTAGCGTCAAGGACCAGTTTTAGGGGATTGGGTTGAAGTTGAATATTGTCCGAGTCCTGGAATTTCCAGAGGGCTATCAGGGCTGCCTGCGTCATCAGCAAAAAAGGTTAGTGTCCGAGTGCAGATTGGAGATGCCGAGGTTGTTAACGTACAGAGAAAACAGAAGAGGGCCAGGCACAGAGTCCTGAGGAACTCCCTTCGGAATGGGTTCCTGTCAGAGGATGCTTTGTTGACGAGAGACAATTTGAAATCTGTCAAATAAGTTAGTCAATACACTGCAGTCTACGATACAGTATATACACACACACATACACTAAAGTCTACAAATTAGTCTACAATACAAGTATGCGCAACATTAAAAATGAAACTGAAACAAACAATCACAAAATATACATGTAAGAAACTTTATTAAGGGTGATGACTCATCTCTCTAAAATGTCTTACCCATGGCCCCATCCCCTCACATCATGGTGGGTAAGGGAAGCTTTACGTTGATTAGATTGGCAGTGTCCCTTTCTTTTGGATACATTTGTTTGAAGGTTGCACGAAGGGTCCCTTTATGAATCGCAGTCATTTACAATATTCATCATGTAATAGGTTCAGATGGGGCGATTGGACTGACCTTGAATTAGATCCCCCAACATGATTTGATTTGGTATAGATCACATCTTAATCAGCTGATTGAACCATGTCCAGTGTATTTGTTTATCACATTTCACGCATTGTGTCTCACCATTACATATTGGCCACTTTAATAATTTCAATTGGATACTTTTAAGCCTTGGTGTACGGAAAGTGTAATGCAGCGTATGTGAACAGCAGCTTCTTAGAAGCCCTACTTCTGACAGCCACTGTGCTAGATAGCACGCAGGACACATTGTGCTTGAAATCCAATGTCGCAAGTTTGAAACGTGTGTGTATACGGGGCGCAGGGTGGCGCAGTGCGAACACTTGTTCCTCGCAGGAAAGGGCCTCGGTTCGATTTTCGACTTGGGCACCTTTTCAGTGTGGAGTTTGTGTTCTTTATCTCCCCGTGTTCTGCGCGGGTTTCTTTGAAATTCTCTGGTTTCCTCCCATAGATACAAAACAAATCATCGCACAATGTATCTGGCATTGGCCAAACATCCCACTGCTGACAAATGATCTGAACATTACTCAATTGGGATGACACACAGAGTAGCAAATGCTTGGCAGGACTCTCCTGGACTCGGTGAGGCTTGCCAGGGTAAACAAGCATAATAATAATAACAGTACAACATCATTTTTATATTGTAATTAATACACATTTCATTTGCTTTGCAGATGTGGTTATCAATACAGTGGTCATCGACACGCCCTGAATGAATACACATACATTTATTGTGCTGTGTACACTGTTTAGTTAGTCTAGTTGGTAACATTGGTAATCTTTACTTTTATAAGTGTTTTTCTTGTATTGTTGCGAAAGCATTCAATTTAATGTTGAATGCATTAATTGTGTTATCGCAAGTGCTACTTACGCATTGACTTTTAACAGTGAGCAGCTTTAACGTGGCTTGTTTGCCTGCGCGTGCAAATATGCTTAACGGAGATTGCACGCAGACATGTTAACAGCTCGTACATGATCATCATATTCCTCCTGGTTTTTTCAAAGAGGCCTTGCTGCACCGATTGCCAATGCCTGAAGCTTCGTTTTTGCATCCGCTGCCGAAGGTTTAATTTGCTGCACCATCGTGTAATTGTGTTTTAACAATCTGTCACCTTTCTCACAAGCTGATGACTTATCACTGTTGGGGCGGGGAAGGTGTGGATCATGATTCAATTGAAGAATCTTTTGTCCTCTCCGTTGGTCTGTCACCAATATTCACTGTCGTTTGTTCCTTCAGGGTAAATACAACATTTGCGTAAATCATAGCTTATTACGTGCACGATTCGCTGCAAGTGCCGTGACCGTAATAATTAATATTAAGAGACAAATTATTACTCACGTCTACACATCTAAAAGTTGGATTTGTCCGTCCAAATTTAATTGTCAACTTGCATGAGAGATGGTTGGCGGCTTGCGGGAGGCCTTCATCCAGCAGCGGCTTGACCACTGGCGAAGATGTGAACTTTACTCAAACATTTTCCGATGTTTGAACAGCACCACATGTTGAGCGCTTTTTAACAAGGCAGAGAGCACCACATTGTTGAGTGTGGTTTCCCACTGACCGTTGTACTACGAACAATGGGGTTCAGGTGGGGGCTATCCATGTAGTTGGCACCTGCGGCGCTGGTCCGCGTGACCGTGCCCCCCCCCCCCCGCGCGCCTTGTTTGACGCTCCGCCGCGCGTTGTCATGTGTGACGCCGTGCGTTGCCGTGCAGAAGGCGAATGCGGCGGAAGAGGCGCGCGTGCTGTGCATTGTGACGGACACGACCCGCGGCGACACGCAGCGCATCACCGTGAACCTGCCCTTCTCCACGCCGCTGCGCGAGCTGCAGGCGCACGTGGCCGCGGAGGCGTCCTACCAGGCCCACACCTTCCTGCTCGTGTGGAAGCAGGACGAGCATGCAAAGGTCAGTCTGCCGACGCTCGTTGTCGTCGTCGTCGGACCGCGATCGTTCTGCTGCTGGGGTTCGGGGCTTCCCACCACCCCCCCTCCCTCCCCCCCCCTGCCAACCATCGCTGGATTTTCATCCTTGCGACGTAACGAAGACAGAATCTCCCCCGTTGAGCCATACAGACGGTTGGGCCAAGTGCCGTTAACGAGTGCGTATGAAGGCCGGTACGGTGCACTGGGGGGTAGTGGGCCATGGGGGGGGTAGTGTGGCCAGCACCACTCCCGTCGCTTATGTTTAATACACAATGCACCAGGTACTCATTGAAGGCTGATTCAACCTTGTGGGCAGGTCCAGGTATTGGTTCAGATAATTGCCACTGAAGTGAACTTGCCAGGTTTGCGGCACCGCTCCCTATCCACTCGGCTACAACTCCACCCATGTACTAAACTACACTTTTTATTTTACCACGTAAGGCCAGGTCACAAAAGTGACCTGGTTACAAGTTATAGCTCAACGGAGTGGCTTATGTGGAAAGTTATAGCAGCTGCCAAATACTCTAAACGCACGTTTGTATGTATACATGTTGAACTTCGCACCATTCATAGTCATGCTAATCGGAGGTGCGGGGAAGGACAACAAATGTGGATCTAAAAACCGGAGGACCCGGAGAAACATCCACGCGACCATGGGTCGAACATGCCAACTCCAAATATACAGGCGTCAGGGTCGGGATTGAACCCACCACCTCCTTCATACCAGGCGAGGTAGTTAGAAACTTGCCACCGTGTAGTGACTGTCCACTGAGCGCCTGTACATCGCCCCTGCTCCGTAGCGGACGTCCTCTCGGACGCGTCCCCTTCTCTTCGCTGCCACTCACTCCATTGAAAACGCTTGACAACACTGTCATGCGGTTTTACAATTAGGAGTGCACTGAATAGTGGGTGTAACAGTGCATGCATGCATACATACACACATACATTCATTCATTGATGAATATTGATCCTTAAAAGCGTGGAGTCGCATGTCAAAGAATCATTGTTTTTGATTTCGGGGGATTATTTGCCAATGTTACATTTAGCCTAAGGGAGTGACGAAGCTACGAATGAGATGGAATAATAAGAAACAATACTCATGGGGTAGTAAACACGAGATGGAAAAACATATTGAATCTCATATCAAATCGCACCTCTCAATCACGACAATTTGTTGACTCACAATGGTGAGCGAGGAGTGATTGTGGTGAATTGTTAACACCTCTAGCGGTCATGGAAAGGTAATCCGTTAAATTCCCACTTTACGCTCATGTTACATGCATCGAAACGTTTGCAATTGATGCATCTATCATGGAAATGTTATGTATTGGCTAACAAAGCGAATTCGGCTGGAAAAATTAGACGCAATAACCAAAAGAATTACACACGAAACGGTAAAAATGCGGACAAAAAAATGCTGTTTCCTGAATATAATCGTTACTTTGAATCCTCACAATCCATCAGATTATAGAGGGGGGGTGCTGCAGTGTATGGATCACCTTTGAATTTCACTGTTTGGGCAAATACCAGATATCTGATTAGGCATTTTGCCGGAGTGCCAACCCCAAAGCCTTTAAGTTGTGAGTTTTAATCTGTGGTGTGGAAATTCCCACACCGAAGGTCAGGAGTTGGGATGAGCACCACTCTTTTGTTCGTTTGAGCAAATAAATAATCTTGATTTGGCCTTGCATACATTATATCTGAGTATATGGTCTAAATATTGAGTTATCGGCATGCATGAATGAGTGGTGGTGTGGTGAGTGACTACATGTTTCAAACGATTAAAGGAGTCGTGTTGTTTTTTAACAAACGTGATTCCTGTGCCGATGTTTGGTGCGAACAGGAACCATTGAATGGAGAGTCGGAGGAGTCCCTGAAGGATGCTGGCTTTGCCGAAGGAAAGAAGAATTATCTGCACCTGACCGACAAGAATGGGATACAACCTCTTCCGGCTCCGCAACCTCCACCTGTGAGTTCGCCTTCCTGGTTCTGAATCCATTCCGTGAACAGCGCTGTTCAGTGAGTCCAAACCCAACATCTTTGGAATTAAATTAAATTTCGTGTTCGTCCCATCAACCAACGGGACCTTCTAAAACATGGTGTTCTAGCACTTTTTGTTTCCGCAGTGCAAACGCTGGACCGGTTTCGACATCCCGAGTCACATCACCGTAGCATGGCTTGTATGTTTTTTTCCAGACCACACTCAGCCAAATGAGACTTTCAGACAAAACCGTTTTAAACGAGTGCTGCTGGAAAAGATTCGTCAAAGATTCCCGAAGGCTGATGGGTAGTCGGTGACCTAAATGTTCGTGCTTGCTGTGTACCCAAGTGAAATTAAGGTTGGCAGATGCAGCATTTGGATTACGCTCGTACAGTCCCGACATAGTAGTGACGTCATATGTCACTAAACTTGTGTTGCGATCGAAACATCGTGATATTGTTATTATCTCTTGATTATTTTTTCTATCTACGTGGCTTTACCGAAAGACCCACAGATTAAGAGTCTCTTAGCCACCACTTTTAGATGCCCCCCCCCCATGCCGTTGCCAATCTCGCCTGACGGGGACGGCGAGTTGGATTTATGGAGGCAGGGCGACGACAATGGTATCGATAGGATTGACTCCTCGCCGCACTGCGAAAGAAGTTCTACATACGTACTTATGCGGTTAATTGGAGGATTCGAGTTTGTGGCACCGTTCTCAGGATGACTCTGGGGGTACGAAGGGGCCCGGCGGTGGAGGCGGCGGCGTGGACGAGAACGGCCACGAGAAGGTGACGGGCTCTCCTCCCAGCGAGAGCGTCGCAACCTGCGCCAACGATCCCGCCGGCCCTGCTTATGGAGTCCTCTGCAAGTCTGAGACCGGTAACCATGGTGCACCATGTAATTTACTGTGCGCTTTTCAGCGTTTTGTTCAATCCACTGCTGTGATGTTAAATCCCTCGTCCCTGGTATGCTGGAGCTGACCCTGATGCCTGTATATTTGGAGTTTGCATGTTTTCTCTCCCTGTGGTCACGTGGATTTTTCTCCGGATCTTCCAGTTTTTCCCAGCACATTTAGAAACATGCTTTTGGAGTATTTCGCCGCGATAAATTTCCACGTGATAAGATACTTCGTTGAGCTATTATTTGTGACCAGGTTGCGTCTGAGAAAAAGCGCTATGTTTCTGATTTGGGCCTTACCTGGTAAAATAAATAGTTTAGTATTCGGACTGGACTTGAGCTGGAGCCTGACTAAAGCAAGAAACAAGCCGAGTTCCAATCATTCGTGTTCCCATAGCAGACTCCATTGTTTAACCAGGAGAGAGATGACGATGCACAGGCCCACTGAGACAAGCAATGCATTGCCTCTTTGCAAGGGCGACTTCAGAATCAGCATCTTGATTTATAATGGCGGAATCTGATGAAGCTATAAAGCTCTTTTTCACAGATGTCCAGTCGACTTCGGATGGGCCACTCAAGAATTAAATTATTTGATTCCATCCACCCCTCAAGTCTCTATTCTGCCACCCTATGCTGCCCATGTTTGGGAAGCGATCTTTAAACAAAGTCGAATGTACAAGTGTGTCAGGTTAAGCTATTTAAAGTTAAATGCTACATTTTAAACTGAATTATCACGTAGATATTATACACACCTAGGGCTGTGTCCCACCAGGCTCTCCACCATTCGTTTAACTATTCGTTCGTGAGAAATAAAATACTTTAAAATCCCAGATTGTATATTACAAAGTATGCAAGTTACTTCACAGTGATGTCACTTTATTGCTATAATGACACACTTGACCTTGCTAAATACTATATATATAAACTATTGTTGATAATGCTTTTGGCTGTGCCAGGATGGAGGAGTAAAAGTTGGAGGTTACAGGCATGGGCAACGCAATGGGACCCAGAGATCAGAGAGACAAAGGGAAAGCCACCGCGGCAAGATGCTAACTACCTCGCCTTGTGTGCAGGAGGTCGTGGGTTCGATCCCAACCCTGACTGACGCCTGCTGCTGTATATTTGGAGTGTGCACGTTCTCCCCGTGATAACGTTGATTTTCCTCCAGGCCCTCCGGTTTTTCCCTTCAAATTTGAAACATGCGTTTTAGAGTATTTGGCTGCGATACATTTCCACGTGATAAGATACTTCGTTGAGCTGTTATTTGTGAGCAGGTCGCTTCTGAGAAAAAGCGCTATATATTTGAGTGGGCCTTACAAGGTAAAAAAAAAAGTTTATTTTTAGTTTAGATATCACTCGCCACTGGTGTTAATCACGGCTGGGCATCAAAGTCAATGTCACCTAGTTAATAGCACGAATGTGCTTATCACTACGCCACCGCTCTGCTTCATACTGTTTACTACACCCTTTACTATACCCTGTTAAATGCAGCTGCCTGCCAACCCCACCACGCCCTATCAGAGCTTGCCACCCAGCACAGTTGGCAATAGCTCAGTGCGATGCATATCTCCACGCCCTGGCAGCTGCAGGTCACCCTGCGGTGCCGTATGGATGCCCTCTGCTGCAACGCAGCTGTGTACTTTCGGCGTGTTGTTGTTGGGGCTGTTAAAGTCTATTTATGTTTTTGTGCATTGCTGGTAACCGCCTGGAAAATACACGGTGAACACCGTTTACCGGTTTGCCACAAACACAGAAACGTCCAAAGCAATAAACCTGCTCTTACATTTTTATTTAAAGCTTTCGTGACTGCAGGGATTCATATTCTTGGTTCTTTAGGTAAAGTCACGTAGGCAGCCAGAGTTGATAATGCTAGTTGTAATTATTGGCGAAACGTCCTACTCTGAATTGTAAATGTTGTGGGATTACTTTCCAACACACCAGTGTGCTGATCTAGTAACGAATTTGCATGTTTTCTTTACGTAACAAACCTTACTAATTGGCTGTGTCGGGTGGTGAGGGGTTTAATGATGCATTTATATTCACGCGATCTAACTACAAAAACCTCTTATGGATAATATTGGTCGCGAAAGCCTATGTGTTAAATTAATGTACCATTGACGATGATACCAAACAACACCACTTACTATGGATAGGTGGTCTCTGTGGCATTTTTAGAACGTCTCCCAACGGGGATCACCTATAGGTTCACGTCGGAAAGGGTATTCAGTGAGGAATATTTTCTTTTGAATGTTGACGATTGGCCTGATCGTTGTATTTGCCTTTTCCAGGCTATGTGGGCCTGGTTAATCAGGCCATGACCTGCTATCTGAACAGCCTCCTGCAGACCCTGTACATGACCCCCGAGTTCCGCAATGCCCTCTACAAGTAAGTGGCCAACCTTTGCTCGTCCACGTGGTTTCTCTTGCAACGATGGTGGCTTGGCCGATGCGATTGCAGGCACTTTGAGCCTTGAGCTACCGATGCTGGAAAATGGTGCCGGGTGGTTCGAGCTCCCAAGAGTTTAAATTACAGACGCTCCGCAAATTAATTCGGCAAAATGGATAAAAAAAAGTAGCAATCGTCCCATGACTAAATGCATGTAATAAATTAAATGTTATCATCATTTACTCTTCCACTGCTGGAAAAATGAATTCCCCCACATTATCCAATCCATTAATTGTGCGTCAATTTGACGAGCTATCATCAGCACTGTGCGAGATCTGTTCGGGATGTCTTCGAGAACTTATTTACGGAAAAGTTTGACATTGGTGCGTGAAGGGCGAGACTCCCGCTTTGCCCGCACATGACATGAATGGATGTGACAATGCGAGCCAATGGGAGTTCTGTAACTTCTTGCTGTAACATGTGTGTCTAATCACGCGCCACTTGGCAGATGCCGTCACAATTTTACTGAGTGCAATGACCTCGGAGAGTTTTGCATTCGGGTTTATGAATACTTTGGCGTGAGGTTGATCCCACGCTTACTTGCGTAACGAGCGTCGCGCACTGGTGTGTTCTGCTGTCAATTTGTTTGTTTCTTGTGTTGTAATTGACTGGATAGCACGAACACGTAGCAGGCAGGCGTAATTCTTCGTATTCAGCCGTGATATTGGGAACAGGCCATTGCGAATAAGAGGGGTTTGTGTGGCAGCAAATTGGTTATATTTTTTTATTGATAATATGATAACAGTAAGAGTTTTCGTGATTTTTTTCAGTGTTAAATTTATTTTTACATCTTAATTTAACTTCATTATTTTTGTTGTTGTTCCAACTGGGAACGGTTAATAATTGAAAGAAAAAAATGCCATTAGGGGGTCATTTAATATTTTTGGGTCACCTTAAAAGCATCGCGGCAGGCATTTCCCCCTCCACACGCCCCTGGCGACGGTTCCCTCGTCGGTGCCAGGGACGTTGATCGTTTTGAACTCGCGCCCAACTCCCGTTGTGCCGCCGCGTTCTTTTGTGCCACAAGGTGGGAGTTTGACGGCTCAGAAGAGGAGGGGGACAAGTCCATCCCCTTCCAGCTGCAGAGGCTCTTTGTGCAGCTGCAGACGAGCCGCAAGCGCGCCGTCGAGACCACCGATCTCACGCGCAGCTTCGGCTGGGACAGCAGTGAAGGTGAGGAGGAGGGAGGGAGGGAACGGAATGAGGGAGGGAATGAGGGAGGGAGGGAGCAAATGAGGGGAGGGAGGGAATGAATGAGGGAGGGAGGGAATGAGGGGAGGGATGGGATGAGGAAGGGAGGGAATGAGGGAGGGGGGGGGATGAGGGAGGGGGGGAATGAGGAAGGGAGGGAATGAGGGAGGGAGGGAGGGAATGAGGGGAGGGAGGGAATGAGGGGAGGGAGGGAATGAGGGGAGGGAGGGAATGAGGGGAGGGAGGGAATGAGGGGAGGGAGGGAATGAGGGAGGGAGGGAGGGAATGAGGGGAGGGAGGGAATGAGGGGAGGGAGGGAATGAGGGAGGGAGGGAATGAGGGAGGGAGGGAGGGAATGAGGGAGGGAGGGAATGAGGGGAGGGAGGGAATGAGGGGAGGGGGGGAATGAGGGGAGGGAGGGAATGAGGGGAGGGAGGGAATGAGGGGAGGGAGGGAATGAGGGGAGGGAGGGAATGAGGGGAGGGAGGGAATGAGGGGAGGGAGGGAATGAGGGGAGGGAGGGAATGAGGGGAGGGAGGGAATGAGGGGAGGGAGGGAATGAGGGAGGGAGGGAATGAGGGAGGGAGCGGATGAGGGAGGGAGGGAATGAGGGGAGGGAGGGAATGAGGGGAGGGAGGGAATGAGGGGAGGGAGGGAATGAGGGGAGGGAGGGAATGAGGGGAGGGAGGGAATGAGGGGAGGGAGGGAATGAGGGGAGGGAGGGAATGAGGGGAGGGAGGGAATGAGGGGAGGAGGGAATGAGGGGAGGGAGGGAATGAGGGGAGGGAGGGAATGAGGGGAGGGAGGGAATGAGGGGGGAGGGAATGAGGGAGGGAGGGAATGAGAAGGGAGGGAGGGAATGAGAAGGGAGGGAGGGAATGAGAAGGGAGGGAGGGAATGAGAAGGGAGGGAGGGAATGAGAAGGGAGGGAGGGAATGAGAAGGGAGGGAGGGAATGAGAAGGGAGGGAGGGAATGAGAAGGGAGGGAGGGAATGAGAAGGGAGGGAGGGAATGAGAAGGGAGGGAGGGAATGAGAAGGGAGGGAGGGAATGAGAAGGGAGGGAGGGAATGAGAAGGGAGGGAGGGAATGAGAAGGGAGGGAGGGAATGAGAAGGGAGGGAGGGAATGAGAAGGGAGGGAGGGAATGAGAAGGGAGGGAGGGAATGAGAAGGGAGGGAGGGAATGAGAAGGGAGGGAGGGAATGAGAAGGGAGGGAGGGAATGAGAAGGGAGGGAGGGAATGAGGGGGGAGGATTGGGATAGTCGGCTGTTGTCAAGCAGAGTTTTGACGTGAGTGTTTCTCGTCACCGGAGTTGAGGGAGGGTGCGATGAGAAGGTAGAGCAGTGATGAAAGAAGAGAGGTGGGCAGGATGCACACCAATTAGGATCTTGTCAAAAATATATATATTACCCAGTAAATATTATCTGATACAATAATACTATAATTTTTTTGCCGGTTTTATGCCAGAGCTGCTTGCAGAGAGACAGGGTAGCAGTTCATCTTGGTGGCGGGGCCACGCCTTTTGCCGTCTCGTATTCCTCGTATTTCTCGTATTTGGCATCGATTAAACAACAACATAAAAAAACTAAAATTGCCACATTTGTGATACACGACGTTACGTAACACCCCCCATACAGCAGCACTTTTCTGCAATAAACACGGAGAGCAATGTGACACGCATTAAGCACATCTGTGTTTGATGTTTTCTTTCAAACTGCTTTTTGTGTTTAGTTTGTTGTCCTTCCCCCCGCACCTCCGATTAGCACGGTTGACTACGTACGGTATGAAAGAAGTTAACCATACGTACATGATATAATCAGAAAGTTGCAATGAATGGGTTGGGGGGGGGGGGGCACGTGTACAGGATGGAAGAGGACACGTTACCAACATAGGCATTGCTGTGTCAACCAGAGGTCAGTGACCAGAGCGAAGACCTTAAGCTAGATTAGTGGGATATTGGAAGATCAAACCTTGGAATTTCGGTGCCAACTATGAAACAACTGAGCATGCCAGCAGCCGGAATGAAGCATTGGTGAGGTGTCGTGCCATCGATGGCTGTGATGACACCTTGACTTTCAGGGTTAACCCCAATAAGGTTCAGATGAACGAACGGCTCTGCGAGGCTTTTCATGCTGCTTTTGTTTTCAGCTTGGCAGCAGCACGATGTCCAGGAGTTGTGTCGAGTCATGTTCGATGCCTTGGAGCAGAAGTGGAAGAACACGGAGCAGGTATGACACCGCTCCTCCCAGATGCAACACATCACCCCTTGTGTTTGTTAGCTTTGTATAACGAGCTTTAAAATATATCAATGTTGTGGCCCACGATCAGAGTCAAGAACCGTCTTTTTCATTTGAAATACCGGCCAATTCTAACTCTTGCCTACACGCTGGAATTGGGGTACCTACAATTAAGCGGGTGCCTTCACTTTGCAGTGAACAGTTTAAATTCCTCATTTACCTTAGGCGTAGAGCGCTCGTACCGCTGTTAATTGCTGCATTGTGCCATATATCACACAATGGTGCCAATTCTCAGCAGTTTGCTCACACGTGGGTTTTTGCTTGGATGCATGTATGCATGCTTTTGAATGCATGGTCATGGATTTTCTTCCTGCTCTCAGCATCAATACATGAATGTAACGTGACAGCCCGCGTGTGTCATGTAGTGCTTTGGAGGCAGCTCGATGACCAGGAGATGGCAGTAAATCAAGGGGGTTCACGGCCCCCTGTGGGTTTTCTTAGCGCACTCCGGTTTCCTCTCCAATACCAATAGCCGCCATTCACCACAAAGTGACGGTGGTGCCACCACAGCACCTGTGCCAGGCCAGGTGCACTTTGAGACCACGTGAAGTGTCGAAGGCTCGCTGACAGGAGATTATGGGACAGACCCGGGTGCCATGGGTTGACTGACTGAGATGACCTGCAGATGCACCAGCTCTACCCCCTATTGTGTTTCCTCTCACCCCCTGAAAAAAACATACATTTACAAGGTATTGGCCAAGTCTATCAATGTTATATATTCCTGAAAAACAGCCACAAGACTCTATGACACTTTCCAAGATAAGAGATATATTACATTTACGTACAATCGATTTTATTTACGTGCCGGTGTATTGTTGCTCTGGAGGCTGGGAGATGAATGATCGATGTTTGGTCGCCGCGTTGATGATATTTGCCATGCGAAGGCTGCCATCTTTTACTCCATTACATTCCCGTACAGTTGAAAACTCTCCAATGTGCGACTGTGGTCATCCAGAACAGACCGTACAGCATATCACGACACAATGCCACATTTACAAATACGAAGGAGGCATCACAGCGATTCCCTCCCCTGCTCCTGGCGCGGTTATATGGCTTTGACCACCTGTGTGTGAAATTGTAGTCTTTGCTTTGCGTCTACATTAGCCATACGAAGGGAGAAGAAGACGTGCCAGTCTGCGGTGTTGATCATGTGCGCTCTTCGCCTCCCACTCGACCAGGCGAATCTGATCAACGTGCTGTACCAAGGCCAGCTGAAGGACTACGTACGCTGCTTGGAGTGCGGCCACGAGAGCTCCCGTCTGGACACCTACCTCGACATCCCTCTCGCCATCCGGCCGTTTGGCTCCAACCAGGCGTACTCTAGCGTGGTGAGCTTCCGTTGTTGCCGCCAACGTCGTTTACCAATAAGCGTGTCGGTTATTCACGAACTTGCTATCCCAGATTTTGGCTATCCTCGAATTGCATCTGGAACTCTACATGGCTGCATTGAGAGAGAGAGAGAATGAAAGTGGTGAGATAGTGATGAGAGAGAATGTGACGCAATAAAGTGATCATATAAAATGATGCATAGCATAATCATAATTTAAGGTAAGTCTATTTACAAACTATAATTTATTACTTCAATATTTATTAAAATGTACTTTATGTTTATTATGACCAATAAATAAAATTGTGATTAGAATTATTTTGTATTTAATAGCTTAGGGCAATATTTCTATTCACGACCATCTTCAAAACGTATCCCTCGCGAATAATGAAATGCGGCAGTTTTGTCGACAGTAGAATTTGCCCCAAAGTGTGTCCCTGCTCAAACGAGCACTTGGGGCGACGCTCATCCTCGGTGGTGGCTCAGAGCCAGCGGTGGAGATTACAAGCACCCCCCACTGGGGACTTGTTTTGTTAACCTTGGAGATGTTGACCGCCCAACTGTGATTTAAACTCGTAACCTTCTAATTGCTTTTCTTGATTTGAAGCTTTCGTGACTGCAGGAATCTATCCTCTTTGGTTATTTCGGTAAAGTCACGTAGGTAGGTAGATACCTACGTGACTTTCCCGAAAGAACCAACGAGTATAGGCCTGTTGCTGTAAAGGGCTGTGCAGCAGTATGGTGGTTTGTGTTGAGCAGGCCTGTTGCTTTATAAACGTGCGTTTGCAGTATTTGGCTGCTATAAATTTCCACATTGATAAGCCACTTCGTTGAGCAATCACTTGTGGCCAGGTTGCGTGTGAAAAGAGCTACATAGCTCAGTGGGCCTCACTTGTTTAAAATACAAATAGTTTTTAGTTCATAATTTGAGTTTTCTGCCGAGGGTTGTTCAGTGATATGTGGTGGTTTTTGTGGCAAGCAGCAGGCCTGTTGCTGTAAAGGGCTGTGCAGTGACATCATTGTGGTCGTGCTCTTTGTCTGGCAGGAGGAGGCGTTGCAGGCATTCGTGCAGCCGGAGACACTGGATGGCACCAACCAGTACTTCTGTGAGCGCTGCAGCAAGAAATGCGATGCCCACAAGGTGAGCTTACGGCCTGGTTGAATGAATAAAAAGTTGATTTTGAAATAAAATAATCGTATTTATTATTTCGGTCACCAAGAGGAAAGAAAGATTCTTCCGTTTCAGCACACATATAAACTTCTAAGTAGGGTTGCCTTGGATGATCCCAAGATGATCCTCTTGTTCAGGTAAGCTGTCTTGGGAAATCTCTTGAGTCTTCCCTAGACAATATAAGCCCCAGTTTGTATCCGTTTCTTCATCATACACCACTCAAGACAAATCACTTACATGCCGTTCTCCCTCCTTGCATTGTAATATATTCTTCCCGTGATATTTTTCCGTTATTTACCCTCATTTTGTGTAGAACTGGCCTTGTTCTGCAAGAGAAAGGGCCATTTGGCCAAAATGTGAAGGTCCTTCCTATGATTGACAGTAAAACGCCCTGTATTTAATTCTAATGAACCAGCCGTTCATTGCATAAGTTTACCGAGGCAGCCACTTTGCACATTGTTTATTGTAAGGTGTACAGAGCACGTGATACACTCGAACAGGGGTCTCTATGTTGTGGAAATCTTATTGCCGTGCTAATCCGAATACTTGATAGAGACGTTGCATTATGCCGAGCGTCAAATTCAGTGGCTGCACACTTCTTATTCCCACGTAATCTGTCTTGGAATTATGGAACGTCAGAGCGAGCAATGGGGGGCGATGCTCATCTCCATTGACCTTGCTGAGCCAATCGTAGAAATTCCACATTACCCTGGTGCGGGCCAGCTTTTATCAACAAGATAACCACTGTTGACTTCCTACTAAAGCAGCTGTCATTTTATCGTCTCGGAAAGGGGTGGCGAGTCAAGTTCACCCCCGCCCGGGTTTTGAACTTGCACTACCCTGCTTTTATTATTCAAGCACTCTCATCACAACACCACAGGGCTGGCTGTGTGTTATTATTGTGAGACGAACTCCGGTGTCCCCTCTGCCTTATGTTCGATTTTCCTGTGGTATTATCACTGTAAAGTGAGCCCGACAAGTTTGCACAACTTTGCTATTTTGTTCTCAAATCCTATTCCTGTTTCGTTTTCAAGCATATTTTCTCGCAAAATAATGTAGATTATTTTTCTTACTCAAATAATGGGTTACTTTACGCAGGGTAGGCTGTGGTAAGAGGTTTAGATGTGGTTAAAGGCCTTTTGTGTCCTTGTGCTTACCAGAATGATGTCATCAGCCATCATCCATTTAATGTCCAGATTGTCGATCCCCTCTTGAGGGCCCTGCTATTTGTTTGCAGCTCAACAAACAACCACGTTTGCGCCGCCAGGATGAAAATATTTGATTGATTCGTGAATATAGACGATACAAGTAAATCAAATCAGATTGACGACACAGCGCTCGCGTCACACTAACACAGGCCGCCACCTGCCCTCCTCTGTGCCAGCATGCGTTAGTAACGACTACCGTTGCGTGTTACTGAGAGCGATTCCCGTTCTCTGCTTCCGCAGGGCCTGGAGTTCCTCTACTTCCCGTACCTGCTGTCCTTGCAGCTGAAGCGGTTTGATTTTGACTACTCCACGCTACACCGCATCAAGCTCAACGACCGCATGACCTTTCCCGATCACCTGGACCTCAACGCGTTCATCGAGGCCCCCGATGAGGAGGTAATGCTCAGGACACGATGAGAGAGAGAGTGCGTGCCGTTGTCACCCTGGAGAGAAGGCGATGGATCGAAGTAGTGGAAAGTAAAAAGAACGCCGAAAGCGGGACCCTACCCCAGTGGACAAACGCTTGAAAGAAGACGAATTAATAAAATGTTACGTTTGATACATTCTTGATTTTCTTATGCGTTGTTCTACATGGCGTTTACATGAGAAGCCACTTTGTTGAGCTATCACTCGTGGTTAGGTCGCTTCTAAAAAAATAAGTTAAAACCTCTGGGCCTTACCTGGTAAGATAAAAATAATTACATTTAATTTGTATATTTTTAAGTGATTTGTTTACCTTTCCTCTACTTTGCACTCTTACCGTGTGTTTGTGTTGTTTGTTGTTGTCACGTTCTGACCTGCCCCTGCCGGACGTCTGCGTAAAAGAGCTTTTTACAGCTTGTCGGATTCCTCCAGCCTAAATTCAATTTTTAAAATTCTGATTCCACATGCACACACGCTGCGCGTGTGTTCAGTGGTCGCACGTGCAGGTAATCTCACGCCGCGTGTGTGTGGCCCCGCGTTTTTGCGCAGAAGTGCGGTCAGGCAGACAGCTGTGCGGACAGCGGAGCAGAGAACGAGGGCAGTTGCCACAGCGACCAGCTGCTCACGGATTTCAGCTACGCAGACGCCGTGGACGAGGGCATCGACCTGGAAAACAGCAGCCTGGGCGAGCGCAATTGCAAACCCATTCTCGCCAAGGTGAGGGGTGGGGGGGGAAGCGTTGTCCGGCACGCCGCGGTGGCTAGGAAGTGTTTACTACCTCGCCTGGTCTACAGGAGGCCGTGGGTTTGATCCCGACTCTGACGACACCTGTATATTTGGAGTGTGCGCGTCTCTCTCTCTCCCTCCCCCTCCCGTGGTCGCGTTAACTTTTTTCCAGGTCCTCCGATTTTTAAATCCTTTATGTTAAGTTCACTTGCTTGCTTGCTTGCGCGCTTATGACCGTGTCGTTTTTTAACCCACTTCCCGTGATCCAATCGAGCTGACATTTTGCACACAGACTCGTTGTGCGTGACAATTTAGTTTCGTGAAATTTATTTTCCAAAATGTTACGCTTTTTAGGATTTTTTTTTATATTTAATTACCAATTGCTTAATGGTGGCAGGCAATCATCTGACCCATAGGTGGCAGCCATCTCAAGCCAGAGGACGAGAGGACTCTAGCCGCCACGCATATAAAGGATTTATAGTGAAAAACTTTGTTTTTACGGGTTAATTTTTTCCCCTCCACATTTACAAAATGTGCATTTGGAGAATGTTGCCGTTATAAATTTCCACGTGATGAGCCACTTTGTTGGGCTATCATTTATGGCCAGGTCGCTTCTGAAAAAGAGCTGTAGAGCTCAGTGTGTCTTACCTGGTTAAAATACAAGTACTTTAGTTTTAGGTCAATCATCCCTGCGCAGCATTTCCTCTTGATGGAAAGTAAAATGTGCTGGCCGTTGAACCAGGGCAGCTTCCCGCCATGAGCAGATGTTAATTTGTTTTGACATCTTTGAGCAAACATCTTGTATCGCATGTAGCCCCAACACATTTTACCACGTCGTGATGAAATGCACGTGCATGATATCAAAGAGATTTTGACTCGTCACGCTTCTGGTGCGTGTTTGATGTCAGCGTTATTCTTTTTTTTTGTATTGGCAGAATCTATGAGCTTACAACACATTTTGATAAAAAAAAACATGGTTAGGTACTATGGTGATTCATACTCATTGCTTTACATTGGAGTTGTGCTCTGTCTTTGTATTAATACGTGCTCATTGCTGTGAAAATTGGATGTGTTGTCGAGAATTATGTGGCAATGTTGGTGGCATGTGCACATTTCCTTAATTTAGAATGTAGTAGATCATCGATTATCCGGCGGCTTCGAAGGGAAGGTGGTGCTGGATTTTCACAAACGCCGAATAATCACATCATTATTTAGAACTAGTTCATAAATAATTAATCTCATGTGATTTTTTAAAATTTGTATCTACAATCAGAGACTAACAACTACTCCAAAAATTTGTATTTTTCCAAGAAAAAAATTGTTGACGACTTGATTCAATTTCTTATATTTAAAGACATACCGATCGGAGACCAGGCAATTGGAAGATTTAATTCTTTTTTTTATTAGAACAAAAATGTATTAACTTAATACTCTGAGGGGATTATCTTTTACCCTTTTCAAATTATTCAGATTTGAACATCATAAAATGGGGATTTTTTCATTCAAAACCACTTAAAAAATTTGAAATATGACAACAATAAAATATAGAAGAATGTTTCTCGCTTGACTTTTATTCGCTGATTAACGCTCTATCGAATGAAAAAAACACAATCTTATATTTAGAACGGTTTCTGAATGTCACGCTCGAACATGTTTATGGGGCACTTAAAATCGAGATTTGTGGGCCTTAAAATTAAACATCTCGGATTTTCAGATTGTTCTTGTTGTTTGTGTTCTAAATGCTACCTATGTACCAAATCTCAGCTCTATACTTTGTCAGGAAGTACCCTTGAGGTTTTTGAGACATACAGATTAAGGTATTTATTTATATATAGATAGCTTATTTAGCACTTGTTTTACATAATGTTTTTAGGTGTGAATGGCTTTTTAGTGTGTTTAAATTGTTGTACTAAATTTAATTGTCATAAATAAACATAAGAATAGACAAAAATAAATTTCCTACTGGAAAAAGTTGCTGTATTTACTGTACTTTACTTAACACTCCAATCTTGAAGACTCTTCATGGGGTGATGTAGGTGCTACACTCTTGTTTCAACACCCATGTGTTTGACGATTACCGGACTGATGCAGTCTGTAGACCGGTGCTCCGGCGAACGCCGAATTACGTGCACACTTTTTGCCGGATAGCGCTGAATTTCTTCCGTTTTTATGACTGTAGTTATTAATTTAAAAAAATGTATATACATGGAGTATTTTAATTGTTAAAGTTGTATGCAGTGTTGAACTTCTTTAGCACCGTACGTAGCCAACTGTGCTCATCAGAGGTTGGAAATAATGCACCGTGTATAATATTTGACACTGAAATCAAGCCTAGCTACTTTTTTTTTGCCACGTACATGGTGCCGATCGCAGGACTTGGGTACAGCCTTTGGAGCGGTTTTGCCGGTTTCACCGGATCAGCGCAGGACCACCGGATAATGTTGGAAGCCGGATAACCGCGCGCCGGATAATTAATGGACGTTCAACTCTACTTGTTTATTAATAAAGGGAATTCTCACCGAGTCGGAAGACCATTCAGAAGGAAGCACCTGCTTAAGGGGTTATGGATAATTAACTATTGAGTGTGTGGGAGCAGGGAACAAGTACCTGGTGAAAACCCTCAAGTGTCCGCACGGAAGGATCAAAACCCAATTGTACACCGCAGTGAAGTCACCCGCACCTCCGATTAGCATGGTTGGCTACGTGCAGTGTGAAAGAAGTTCAGCGTACATGCGTGCGACGATGGCAGTCATCGCCAGTGGCGGTGGCGGGATGGGCGCTAACGCGGCGGGCCTGGTTTGCTGTGCCTTCTGGTTGGAGCAGCAGGGGCCCTGGGTGTACGAGCTCTTCTCCATCATGGTGCACTCGGGCAGCGCGGCCGGCGGCCACTACTACGCGTACATCAAGTCATTCAGCGACGGCCAGTGGTACAGCTTCAACGACCAGCACGTCAACAGGGTGAGCGCTCTCGCCGTCACGGCGCGGACAAAACCGCTCTCAGAGGGAGAGAGAGCAGTTGCCACGTGTCGGCACTGAGCTGCCCGTTGGGGGCCTGGGTTTTAATCCAGGTCTCGCCCACCTGTGGTGAGAAATGCATTGAGCAAATTTGACCTCTGAAGACTGCAGTGTTGTTTCTCTTGTGACAAATTCTGCCATAGCATGGCTCTCCAGTGCGTTTTCGGGTTGCACCGCGTGTTGTTCGGCATCATGTCCGACAACGTTTCACCCCACGCGACACTGAATTCGCTTCCTGAACGAGCTTCCAGCACGTGGAGCGAAACGTCGGACATTGCACCGAAGTAGCATGCGGTAGAACGCGGAAACATGCCGGAGAGCTGCAACAGTACAGCCGTGAACACCTCCGCAGTAGTTCTGTAAGATCGCTTTCTGAGAGGCTTTTATGGTTCTTGTGTTGAATTATGTTTTATTAAATAGTTTCAAATGGAAATGTCTTCATCTCATGACCGCATTATGCCATTGCACCCTTCGGATATGACTAGGAGAATAAATTACGCAAAAAATTTCAGAGGCCTCGCCTTCATGACCATAGAAAATAACCGGTTTGGTAATGTTCATCTGTATAAGTGGTGTGTAGTGTACACACACACACGCACGTCACTCCTCCATTGCCCATTCTCTCTATTCCCTCCCCTCGCCCCACCTTCCCTTCCCTCCCCTACTATTTTGTGATCCGTAAATACCCTCTGGCTGTCAACTCATCCTCCGATTAGCACGCTTGGCTACATACAGTGTGAAGGAAATTTAACATACATACTAATAATTATATTCTGTCACCGTTTTGTAAGCCGCATGAAGCACCCTTGAGCTGAAGGCGCTCTATAAATATTTAATGACATTAGATTGAATATCCCTCTCTAACAACACTGTCACAGTTGCCGATTTCCCACCCGTCATCTGTTCGGCCCATCCGTGTTGCGTGTTGCAGATCACTCAGGATGACATCAGGAAGACGTACGGGGGAGCGACGGGGAACCGCAGCTACTACTCCAGCACATTCAGCAGGTGGGTCTCGCTCTGAAGCCCCCCCTACCCCAGCCATCGCAGCACCACTGAAGCGTGGTTGGCTACGAACGGCGCGATATAATTTCGATCTAAAGCTTTCGTGACTGCAGGGATTCATCTTCTTGGTTCTTTCGGTAAAGTCACGTAGAAGGGAAATAATATAATAATAAAAATAAAACATAATAAAATAATTCTCAAGTGAGAATTATTTTATCATGTTTTATTTTTATTATTTTCTCACTTGAGAATTATTTTATTTTGTTTTATTTTTTATTATTTTATTATTTCCCTTCTACGTGACTTTACCGAAAGAACCAAGAAGAGTCACGAAAGAAGTTCAACGTACGTACATACAGAGAAGGGTCTCCGCTCGAAGGAGCTCGAGAGAGTATTTTGGCCTACTCGCCGATGCTGGCCAGATGTTGTGGAAGAGGTCGGAAACCCCACACTCGAACCCACCACACGTGAAGTTCAACATGCACTTTTGTTTTTTAACCAAGTAAGGCCCACTGAGCTATGTAGCTCTTTTTTAGAAGCGACCTGGCCACAAATGATAGCTCAACGAAATGGCTTGTCTCGTGTAAATTTTAAAGCAGTCAGATACTCCTAAACGCACGTTCATTCTAAATGTGGAGGGAAAAACCGGAGGACCCGGCAAAACATCTACACGAGCACGGGGAGAACATGCAAACTTCAAATATACAGGCGTCTGGGTTAGGATCGAACCCACGACCTCTTGTATACCAGACAAGGTAGTTAACATCTTGCCACCGTGGCACGCGCATACATACATCATACAGTTGGGTGTTATTTAATTCCTTGATCGAAGCAAAGTTGATCCGTGTGCCAAGGAGCAGGTGATGTAAAAAAAACTCAAACGCATTCATCATTAACACTACCTTAAAGTGTAAAAAATACGTAATATGCAACGTTCATTACGTTACAATATTAGATTATCTATGTGCAGTGGAGAAAGGGACATGCAGCATCACCGATGATTTGTTTAGTTTCTAGTGAGACAGCTCGCATATAACGTGGGTAGATATTTTGTAGACTGTAATTAACTTATCGTGAAGATTGAGTGCGGTTTTTGGAGGTGGCTGGGTGTATCGGGGGAGGTTGCTTCTTTGCCACATCAAGAGCTCTGAGCTGGTACCACTGGCATCCTGGGTTTGAATGTACGCTGCCATCTGTAGCTAAAACAAATTCGCCGGTGTCGCGCTTTGACGCCTTTAGCCTCGTACACCGATAGTGTCACAAAATAGCCATTGCTTTTGGTTTGTCACAGCATTCCCCATCTCTTGTGGTTTAATTTCATTACAACAAGTACTCAACACACATGATATATAGAGGAAGGCAACACCACCGAGTGAGGCTACGAAGGATAGTCGCAGCTAACGCCGTGTTTCTTAAATAAGGCGGAGCTTCGCTCGCCGCAGGAGATCCGAGTGGATAGTTCTTGCCGTCTTAATACAACATTGGTAGCACAATTGGAGTTAATACGTCACTGGACACCTGCGATATGTAGCCCACATGTCCAGCCACTGCATGCCCAAGCAGCTTCTGTTTGGCCGGATGGCTGATGTGATAAAGAAGGATGTGGAGATGACTGGACTAGCCAAAGACTAGTACCAGCAGTGTCAAAATCGTCCTTTGTGGAGGAGGCTCGTAAGGATGCTGCTGGGGAATTGTAGGCAGTTGCCCTCCAACAACAGCGGAGGGCATAGCAGTGACGCTCTCAACAATGAACATAGCTCCGGGCGGCTAAAATGCAGCAAGTTGGCATAGTAGGGATAACAGCTGGTGCATCTGCAAGTCATCTCAGTCAACCCATGGTACCTGGGTCTGTCCCGTGACCTCCTGTCCACGAGCCTTTGACACTTCGCATGGCCTTAAAGGTGCACCTAGCTTGGCACAAGCGTCGAGGTGGCATCACTGCCACTTAGTGACGAATGGCGGCTGTTGTTGTTGTTGAATATAAGAAAGTAAATAATTGAGTTTTTTCCATTTTGTTTGTGTTGCAGCTCTACCAATGCATACATGCTCATCTACCGGCAAATACAACCATCCAAGAATGCGAGTGAGTACACAAGCAGCTCTGTGGCATTGTTTGTGCTGAAGGAATTATTTTCTACGATCTAGTTCCGAGACTGGGCGAGACTCCTGGATAAATACAACATGTTATTTATTCAATTTACGTCGGCCGTACGGTGCCCCACTAACTGGAGTCTGACTGCCGCTGTGGTGGACGCAGAGTTCATGGAGGTGACGAACTTCCCGCAGCACATCCACCACCTAATGAACGGGGAGAAGGAGCGCGAGGAGAACGAGAAGAGGCAGCGCGAGATTGAGCGGAACACCTGCAAGGTACCGCAGTGCTGCTCTGCTCTTCTGCTGTGTGTGCCATGGTGGCGAGATGTTGATTACCTCGCTTGGTATACAGACCCCCCCCCTCCCAATACGTTCCATTCATTGGCTACCACATTCAGATAAGCCCCTCCCTCCCTCCTCCCCCCATTAACTTGTATTTAAGAACTTGTATCTTGGAATCTTTGCCTCACTTGATACAGCAAATCTAGCTGTGGCGGTCCCACCTGATGACGGAGACTTGTGTTGCCTCCGAAACGTCGTGATTTATTATTTTATTTTATTTATATTATCACTTTTAGTAATTTTTTATACAAAAAATTTACCTACGTGACTTTACTGAAAAAAACCTAAGAGTATGGTATACAGGGGTTCGTGAGCTCAATCCCAACCGTGATGATGCATGTATATTTGGAGTTTTGCATGTTCTTCACATGATCGAGTGGATTTTTTTCCGGGTCCTCCGGTTTTTTTCCCTCCACAATTAGAAAGAATGTGATTTGAGTATTTGGCTCCTATAAATTTAGACTTGATAAGCGACTTCATTGAGCTATCATTTATGGCCAGTTCGCTTCTGGAAAAAGAGCTATATAGCTCAGTGGGGCTTGCCTGGTAAAACATTTTTTTTTTATAGTTTTATTTATAGTTTAGTGTGCGGCTATCAGGAAGTTAATGTGTAGCCACCTGCCCAGAGCGCTGGCTGGTGTGAATCTCTACGTGGATTTTGCAGTCACCTGCCACACAACACTACACACAACCGGTGATATTTCTGAAATCGTCACCATCATCATCATCATTGTCATCAACCATGATCACTGCACTGCTGGATGAAGCCCTCTCACAGTGCTGCGATGTAGCGATTCACTTAGCGATCCTGCATGCGAGCTGATTTCATCACTCCATTGACCGCCTTCCCATCTCACCACCTGCCATCTAATACAAATTTAAATCTCCTTAAGTGGGGCGTGGGGGGGGGAGGCCAGGGAGCATATAAACTCGTGATGCTACATCTCCCCCGACTTTGTAATTGTACAGCGTCGGAGAGAAATCCGATATCACGACTGTCATCATTTCGTCAAACAAAATGCACGCCGTATCGGAGCTGCCCCATTGCTGCCCATTGTGTAAGAAGTCACCGCTGGGTGTTTGTGATCCTGCAGATCAAGCTCTTCTGCTTGCACCCAGTGAAGAACACCATGGTGGAGAGCAAGCTGGAGGTGCATAAGGAGCGCACGCTGGAGGACGCCACCTACCTGGCACACAAGGCAAGGCTCTCCCGCGCCGTGGCGTTCGCCGGTGTGATTCACGAGTCCAGTTGCTGCCTTCTGAGCTGTGTTCACCGTTGTCTCGCTCTGAGACGACTGCCCGGTGTAGGGGTGTAGGGGTGTCCTGTTCGCCGCCGAATCTCGGAACGCACGAGCGGCTCGGCATTACTTTTTGTTTTGAGAGGTGTAGCGCCATTATTTTTAAAGACTTTGTATTCACCGCAGGGAACCATAGCAACACGACCGCACTCTACCATGGCTCGCGCCAAACTGTGCCACACGCCCTCGATGCTCGGTACTGATAAAGTAATTTTATTCAGAATTGGAAGAAAAACTGATGACGCACACGTACACGTACGTCATCAGTTTTTCATCGGATCGTTAAAGGGTTAATGAGCCACACAGGCTGTAAGTTTTTTTTGCCAAAAATGTAAAGGGTCAAGGTGCAGCCCTGCTTATTACTTGCTTGTGCCACTGCTGGCCCAAAGGGCTTCCACGAAAGGGAGCTCAGAGAACCCTTCTAGATAACATTTTGGCCTACTCTTCCACGCTGGCACCATACATCTTGGAAGAGGTGAACCACAGCCCCCAAGGGATAGAACGCAGCCACAAATGCAAACGCGTCGCCCGTTCCTCGCCACGTCGCCCGTTCTGCATCGCGTACTCCCCTCCCCCTTCGCCGCATCCTCACGCCGGAGCGTGCCGCCGCAGCTGCTGGATCTGGAGGATGTGCTTCCCGTGGAGCGCTGCCGGCTCGTCAAGTACGACGAGTTCCACGACTCGCTGGAGCGCTCGTACGAGGGCGAGGAGGGCACCCAGATGGGGACGCTGCTCGGCGGCGTCAAGTCCTCCTACGTGTTCGATCTGCTGCTCGAGACCCGGCGGGAGGACCAAGACTTCCAGCCTTACAAGCCCGGAGGTGCCCCTTCCGTCCGCGGCCCCCCCCCCCCCCCCCCCAGTCGTCACGGTTGCTTACGCGCCGGAGACGATCTTCACAATAAGTCTAAACTAAACTGAAAAGTATTCATCTTCTTGGTTCTTTCGGTAAAGTCACGTAGAATGGAAATAATAAAATAATGAAAATAAACATAATAAAATAATTCTCACGACGTTTCGGCCACAACGCAAGCAGCCGTCCTCAGGTGAAGAACAGGTCTGTCGGGAAGACAGTCTGAATGAAACACCCCAGGCTTGGAGCGTCTATTTAAGCTGGGTTGGAGGGGAAAGAGCGCCTTGACAAAATAATTTGCATATCAAGAGGAATTTAGCATATAATTATTTTTATTATTTTATTATTTCCATTCTACGTGACTTTACCGAAAGAACCAAGAAGATGAATCCCTGCAGTCACGAAAGCTTTAAATCGAAACTGAAAACTATTGTTTATTTCCCCAGGTAAGGAACCTGCGGAGCTGTGTAGTTTTTTTTCAGAAGCTACCTGGCTACAAATGATAGCTCGACGAAGTGGCTTATCGTGTGGAAATGTACAGCAGCCAAATACTCTTAAGCGTCACTGATGCATGCAACTATCCGACTCTGCAAGACCGTCTCTGCCCCGCCTGCATTTGCCCGAGTCGGTGATCTAAAAATGACAGCAGTTCTTTTGAGCTGGTGGTCTGAGTAAGGCTAAGAGCTTTTGTACACGCAATGTCGTGCACCTTTGTGTGTTTTTAAATCTAATTGTTGTGTCACCTGCACTAATTTGTACTCGTATGCTTTGTTTTTCTTTATTTTCTTTAGTTGTATTCATATTGAATTGCTTACCTTTTCCCTACTTTTGTTGTTGCGGCATTGTTTGTTGTTTTGACTTGTTGACCCCCGGCCCTACTGGACATTTGTGAAAAATAACTTCATAGCTCATCGGATACCTCCAGGATAAACACAGATTCTGATTCTGAATTATTCTGTTGTGGTGCGATTTCTCATCATGTGCAGATTTTTGGAAGACCTGCGAAGCGTACCACCCTCGATTGCCCTGCGCTCTAAGAATGGGATAAATACTAAATGTACTCTCGTGATTATTAGTGTCAGCCTTCATGTAGACCCCAATGAGTCTCGCTTCCTCGGAGAAAACCCACACGTTAAACCAGGACTTGTGTTAACTCTCTGAATAAAAGAGAATGATGGTGATATTCGTCAACAAAGGTTTTTTTTTTACTTGTCGACTATGACTGGACGCACGAGGATCAAGTGCGACGATGACTACCTACAATTGCTACCCCCATCGTAGGCCTAAGCGTGGCTGCGACGACACAACATTAACGAGTCTCAATGAAGATGCAGACTTAAACAACTAAGTGATATTATTAGGGACTGCAGTGATTGTAGAATACTGGCATTGGGTATTGACTGTATATGTACGGAAACAATTACTGAGTTCACTGTTTGGATGCCAAAATAATATTGGAGGGGGGGGGGGGGTTAGCAGTGGGGTGGAATTGACCGCCCCACACTCCAACGTCCAATAACTGAACATTGGTTAAACGTTGGACTACGTGAAGAAACCAGACTAAGGGAATTGACTACATTAAATCCACACACTTGAGACAAAAATGTCACAGGTTGTCGTCAACTAGACGAAGACTACGACTGAAGTAAAACATGCCGACTAACTTAACGCCGTTTCATCAACTTGCTGTTCTGCCCAGAAAATGGGGGCATCTCACCGCGTCGCAATGAATTGTGCGCGATGCACCAATCTCCCATCTTCTGATCGCTCACAAATTAAACTACGGGTTAATCTCGAGCAGCTTGTATCGCCGTGGCTCGCAGCATGCCTGGCTTTTACACAGTGCTGTGGTGTCCCTCTACCCACCCCACCCCCTCTGCCGTCGTCCTGACAGGCGTGACCGTGAAGGTGCACGTGGTGGACCTGGTCACGGAGGCGGTGTCGCCCGGCGTAAGCATACGAGCCTACCTTAGCCAGTCGGTGAGCGAGTTCAAGGCACTCATTGCACAGGTGAGTGGAGCCCTGCGCGAGCCGTGTCGGGGTGGCGGGGCGTCTTGGTAGCACGGATTTAGTCAGGTCATTGTGTGACCTCGCCCCAAAAATCTGTCACGAAACCCTACGTGTTAAGTTATTGCGTGCGATGAAAAGTAAATAAGAGGCCGCAGGTTTTTCACGGATAGATGCGTCAACCAACCGCCACTGTGGCTGAAAAGCTACATTTATTGTGGCTGCAAGGTGCTTGATCTTGTCTTGTGAAGCACACCTGCTCAAACACACTTGCGTCTACAGCCTCGACGTGAATATGAAGTAAGAATTGTGCTGTTTGGTGTAAATGTGTCTGCTCAATCCACATCCATGGCCACACGTCTGTGTCTTCTTCTGCTCATGTATCGCAAGAGGTCGTTGTTGCTGCTGCTGCGATTGTTAAATCCTTTATATTAAGTTCGCTTGCTTGCGTGCTTGCGTGCTTGCTTGCTTACGACCGTGCAAATCTTTCGGTCGTTTTTTAACCCACTTCCCGTGATCCAATCGAGCTGACATTTTCCACACAGACTCGTTGTGCGTGACAATTAATTTTCGTGAAATTTTTTCCCCAAAATTTTACACTGTTTAGGGAATTTTTTTAAAATATTTAATTACCAATTGCTTAATGCTGGCAGACAATCATCTGACCCATAGGTGGCAGCCATCTCAAGCCAAAGGACGAGAGGACTCTAGCCGCCACGCATATAAAAGATTTATAGTGAAAAACTTTGTTTTTACGGGTTAATTTTTTGCTATATGTATGTTGAACTTCTTTTTGCACCGTACGTAGCCAACCGTGCCAATCGGAGGCGCTGTGGTTGCCGCACCTGTTAGTGCCGCCGCCGCCGTCTCAAGATTATCGAGCGTCTGTGCTTTGCAGGCGACGGGGCTGGACGTGGAGGGCATGCGCGTGGTGCTGGAGCGGTACTACAACGACCTTCGCCTCTTGTCCGTGCCCAACAAGTCACTCAAGTCGGAGGGATTCTTCCGCAGCAACAAGGCGAGACACTCGCTTCGGCTCACCGTGACGCTGTGTTTCCGCTGCTGTGAAATCCCTTCGGATGACCGGTGGACCTGCGCAGCTTGAATGTGTCTGCTGATATTAAAAACTGCCATGAGTCATCTCGTGACGGAACGATAAATAGTGGACTGTAGTGAGAGAGGGGGCCGATATTGTCTGACTTATCCTTAGAAATATACAAAGTTGCCCTTCGGCCAGTTTTATATTTTGCAAGAATAGCTTTTCATTAACATATTGAGGAGCAAACTACTTGTTTGGAGTGTGCACTACTGAGATAATCTGTCTTGCAGTTACATTAGGGTCTACACACGCCGGGCAAAATCCTGTCGCGTCTTTACACGTTTTACTGTTAATACAAATACTGTAATTCAATAACATTACCGTGGCATTATGATGGAGTTGGCACGATTACAAGATCACATATGTCCATGATACGGTTAGTAACGTAATTTAACCCTGAAGTGGAGACACTAGACTTGAATGACCAAAGGAAAGTGAAGGTTCTGCTGCCACTGTCAGCTGGTGGACAAGCCAAATTTCTTAAAGCTGATACTGCCTTGTAGTGATATACACTCTCTGCACCATCCAGTTGTCACGATCCGGGGTCACAATTTGATACGTCAATTGATAACATTGTGCCCCAGTTTAACTGGCTCTCCTTACTTCCTTGTTCTCACTTCTACATGCAGTGGCTGCAGCATTTCGATAAACCGATCGACAACAACATCTAAGGGGTGTACGTGATTAATTATTGCATGCGTGATTCGATTGCGCTCGTGGCGAGCCCCTACGGTTAACCCGACTCGACGACTTCGGCTAGCCGCTGCCGCCTCCCTGGTGGCTGATCCAGCGTCGTGGCGACGCGTTGCCGCCTGCAGGTGTTCGTGGAGAGCTCCGGCTCCCCAGACTCGCAGCTGTCCTTCCCGCAGTCCCTGCTGTGGCGCCTGCTCGACCGGCACGGCAACACCATCCGGCTGCTGGTGGCGCTGCCAGACGGCCCGGCAGCGGCGACGGCGACGCGCGCCGGCCCGGCCGCGGCGGCGGCCGCGGCGGAGAGCCAGGCGGAGCACGCCGCTCGCGGCCGCGACTCGGAGCGATCCGAGCGCGGCTCACGCAACCGCGCCGTCGAGGCCATCCTGGAGGAGAGCACGGAGCGGCTGCGCAGCCTCTCGCTGGAGCAGGAGCGGCGCGCCGCCCGCCGGCGGGAGAACGGCGACGCCGACGCCGCCGCCGGGTCCCCCCCTCCCCCACCCCACCGCGGGGACGGGCTCCGCCCCGGCGCGGCCGATGGCGCGGCGGCTCCGGGCGACGGCGAAATCCGAGGGCGCGTCGGCCCCCCCGATTCGGATTCCGAGACGAACAACGAGCAGAGCGCCGGCTCGCTGTGCGACAGCGACGCCACAACGGGCTCGCCCTCCCAGGACGTCGACTCGTCGGCGTCGGCCGGCAGCCGCGAGAACGAGGACGGCCGCGCCACCCCGCCGGAGACCGAGCCCGAGTTGGAGCGGGACCCGGACTCACGGTGCCACTCGGACGAGCGCTCGGACTCGGAGCTCAATAACGAGCGCAGCACGAGCTCGGTGGACAGCGACCTGCTGAGCTCCAGCCACAGCAGCGACACGCTGTGCAACGTGGCGGCGGCCGCCGCCGCGGCGGCCGCCGCCTCGGCGGCGGTGGTCGGTGCGGCCGGAACGCCGTCGGCCGGAGCCCCCGGAACGCACGACGACGACGCGGCCGCCTCCTCGTCGTCGTCGTCTTCGGCGCTCCCGGTTGCCGGGATGGTACTGCCCAACGGGCTCGACGCGTACACGGGGATCACGAGCAGCCGGCGCTCCAAATCCCTGGCGGGTGTGGACACGGCCAAAGCCAAGAAGGAGGGGAGGGAGCGCAGAGAGAGGGGCTCGGGCAGTGAGAGCGAGGGCGAGGACGAGGGCAAGGAGAGAGAAGGCGGCGCCGGAGCTGCCCAGGCCTACACGTTCTTTCGTGTCGAGGAAGGCCCCGCGGAGGAGGGGACCGCCGGAGACCGCTTCAAATGTACGGTACCGCACCCGCTTGTGCCGCGTCACGGTGGCGAGATGTTATCTCCCTCGCCTGGTATGCAGGAGGTCGTGGGTTTGATCCCGACCCTTACGCCTGCTGTTGTATATTTGGAGTTTGCACATTCTGCCAGTGGTCACGTGCATGTTTTTCCTTGTCCTCCGGTTTTTCCTTCCGCATTTAGAATCCAGGTGCGTTTAGAGTATATGGCTGCGATAAAGTTCCATACGATAAGCGACTTTGTTTAGTTATCATTTGTGGTTATGAAAAACAGCCATACAGCTCAGTGGGTCTCACCTGGTAAAATAAAAAATAGTTGTTTAATCGTTTAGAATCCTGCTTTTTGCTGCTGGGGCTGCACTTGCAACCCAGGGCACAGGTGCTCTTGAACCCCCCCTCCCTCCTGTCGTGTCGTCGTCGCACACCCAGCTCGAGCATGAAACCCGTACCGCGTGGCTCGTTTGGCGATGGCTCCAAGATGGTCATGGTTCATGGGTAGACGCGGCCAGTGAGTGCGGTTAATGCCATCACACCTCACGCCCTCACCCCTCGCATCCTTACGCGATATCCGTTACAAGGCTGCCACTCCAACCTCCACGGTTGCGCGGTGTGGTGGCTGGTAGAACTGAGCAGTAGCCGCCCCCATCCCAGCATTTATAGATGTTACCATACTTGCGGCGGCTCCTATGCCTTGGAAAAGAATACTTGAAATGATGTGTCATCTTGAAAGGTTTGCAGATAACGTCCCAGAAATCCATGTCGTCAGAACGCAGAGTGATTTGCTAGTTTGTCAGCATTCATTTTAGCAGGAAAACTCTGGTCACTTCAACTTTCCCTGTCTCATCAGCAGTCTTATTTTTTTAGCCATTGGTAGTTTTACTACAGTATTACAGTTGGGCATGAGTTGCCTCTGGTCCGGTTGGGGCACCACTTGTTATCTCCCTCACTTGGCACGCAGGAGGTCGTGAGTTGGATGTCGGCCATGACGATGCCTATTGTATATTTGGAGTTTGCGTGTTTCATCTCCCCTGTGGTGGTCGCATGGATACTTCTGTGATGATGATGATGATGTAAGCCACTTCAATGAGCTGTCGTGTGTTTACGTGGTGGACTGAAAATTAACTCACAGCTCAGTGGACTTTAGTTTCCAATCAGAAACCTCGTACAGATCAAACAAAACAACAGATTACTCGGCTCTTCAACCCAAACACTCCTCCAGCCACCAAAAAGCAAACACCAAACCAATGGGCGACCAGATCATTCTCATATGCAGCACCAAACATCGGGAACAACCTCCCCCGAGGCAATCCGCATGCTCGACTCCCATCGTCGCCGCATTCAATTCCCAACTCGACAGCAACAACACGTCTCTTGACGCTTGCATCCAACAACGAACTCACAGTCTAGAACTTGCTTTTAATCTTCTTTTAAACTGCAATAGTTGTTTTTTATGATTAATGATACACTTTGGGATGCTGATTTTGCATCAACCAAAAATAAATTGACTTGACTTGATGTTAGCTTTTAGTTTGGGTCCGCAAGGCCACGGGAAGCGGTCTGCGGAAATGTCGCAAATACTGGAAACTTGGAGTACATTTAGTCAAATATTATGTTTTTCTTGTAGCAAAACAAAGCAGCCCCCCCAAGTTACAGTACGGTGGGCAAGCATACTCGACTGGGAGATATATCATTTGCGAGGCCCACAAGCCCGGCGCGATTGAGCCATTTGAAGAACAGGAGGGGAACCCATGGGAGAAGGGGGGGAGGGGATAGGAGCCCACTGACTGCCGCATTCACATGGGGCATCGTGCTGGGGGGTGAGCGAGGGGAAGTGAGTCGTTAAATGAGGGGAGGGGTGAGAGGATGGAGGGAGATTGCGAACATGCAGGGGAAAGAAAAAGGGGAGGGGGGAACTTAGGGTAGTTTTAATAAAAAATGTAAATGTTGTTGGTGCATGGGAGTCTGTGAAAATGTTTAAGGGTTAAATTTCGATTTAAAGCTTTCGTGACTGCAGGGATTCATCTTCTTGGTTCTTTCGGTAAAGTCACATAGAAGGGAAGTAATAAAATAATAAAAATACAACATAATAAAATAATTCTCACGACGTTTTGGCCACAATGCAAGCAGCCGTCCTCAGGTGAAGACCAGGTCTGTCGGGGAGACATTCAGACGCTGTCTCCCCGACAGACCTGGTCTTGACCTGAGGACGGCTGCTTGCGTTGTGGCCGAAACGTCGTGAGAATTATTTTTATTATGTTTTATTTATTATTTTATTACTTCCCTTCTACGTGATTTTACCGAAAGAACCAAGAAGATGTTTAAGGGTTGACAAAGCGACGGGGCTTCATGCTCGTTTCAGCTGCAATTGCGTTGGCTGTGGTTTCCAGTGGGCAACAAAACTCGATGCACGCTTGTTTTCTCGCGTGCAAGGGTCCAAATTGTTCAGCCACGTATCCTTTTGGAGAGATAATGCAACACAGTTGTTGGGATTGCATCCGCACATCTTATCTTACTCTATGATGCAATTATTGTAGAGTAGAGTTTGGTAAATAATACACGTTATGTATTATTATGTAATACATATCAAAAAATAGTTCACGTAATTTGACATTTTAGCTGTGAAAAGTAACAGATATTGGTTTGACTGCTGTGCATTAGTGCATTGGTGCATTGCAGGGCATGTGGGAAAACATTCCCCTGTGGTATTATGTGGATTAAGAAGTTGCTTTAATGGATATATCAGAACTAGTTATGTGACGTCTCATTCCACGGGCCATTCTCAAGCACGCAGGGTCATGTGTTGCTCTGAATAAAAAAAGACAAACACAAAAAACCCTCAAATGTGCTCCAGTAACCTCTCACCTTTGGCGTGGTATGCGTACACATGTGGTGTGTGTGTGTGCCCTTTGTAATGTTTGGCCGTGGCTAATGCTCTCCACAGCAATATCAGTCCTGCACTGTTGAAGCTGGCCATTGTCTCGGAACGAAATAATCATGGACAGGGCCTCTTGCCTGATACTCGGAGGACGGTCATAACTGTGGGCGTATGTACGATGTATGTATGTTTGGGGGGAGCAGTCGTGTCGCGCGCTGCACTACGAACCCGGCAACCCGAGTTTCGATTCCCGTTCACGGCCAACACCAGTGACGATTTTGTGAACCGGTCCTGGGCCTCCCCTAGGTCGACTCAGTCTCAAACGAATACCTCGTGTGCAGTGCCGGCCTTCGCAGGTGCTCGTTAACAGCACTTGCGCCCCCACAGTCTGTTAAGGCAGTACGGGGGATCTTTGTCTTTCTAGTGGTTAGTCTGCTGCACGATAAACCCGGTGACCTGAGCATTGAACTTCTTTCGCACCCTACGTAGCCAACCGCACCAATCGGATTGCTGCATTTGCTCCCCCTACCCCCCCAGGCCTGACGGTGCACGTGGACAAGCGCATGACGCTGGCAGCGTTCAAGCGCCACCTGGAGCCCGTGGTGGGGGTGTCCTCCAGCCAGTTCAAGGTCTTCCGCGTCTACGCCAACAACCAGGAGTTTGAGAGCGTGCGTCTCAACGAGACCCTCTCGTCCTTCTCCGACGACAACCGGGTGAGCGCGCGAAACCTGTCCGCCCGGCGACGGGTACATACATAAAGTTCACACGTCAAAGTAAGTATGTACATTCAGAGATACATACGTTTAAGGACATAAATGATAAAGTACGCACATTTAAGTACATGAAGTACGCTTCCGCACACTCGTGCCTCGCAGCAAGAAAGGGTTCGGGATTCGATTGGCGACTCGGGCGTCTGTATGCGTAGCGTTGGTATTTGTTCTCTCCCCCTTGTCTATGGGGTTTCCCCCTCAGGTTCTGGTTTGCTCCCACAGTAAAAATAAAATGTAATGTAAAAAACGTTCAACGGAATAAGTATTGGGCCAAACATCCCAGTGATGAAAATATACCTGCAAATTATTGAATTGGGATTGCACACATAACAACATTGCCCCCCCCCCCCACCCAATTACTGGGAAAACTGGGCAGGATCCTCCCAAAATAGTCTTGAAGACTCGGTGAGGCTTCTCTGATGCAAACTAGCGTATGAATAAAAGTAGCGCACTGTTATGACGAGTCACGTGTATACTCACTTATTATACTGGTAGGAACCACCTGGTTCCACCAGCCCACAGGGGATTATTGTGTCCGTCCGTCGTGCATCCAAAAATGGGAGGGGTCGGGCTGGGTGGGGCGGGATGGGAGGGGTGGGGCTGGGTGGGGGGTGGGAGGGGTGGGGCTGGGTTGGGGGTGGGAGGGGTGGGGCTGGGTGGGGAGGGGCTGGTCACCCCGTGGTGCCCTTATAAAACTCAACGTTTAACCTACTCACGCCGGCTTGTGTCCGCCCTCACAGTCGGCCATATTTGCGGAATACACCACGCCGCCGTTGACCCTGACCATTGACCCAGCAACCCAACGTTCCTACCAGCTCCCTCCGCAGGAATGTGTTGATCGTGCAATGAAGCGATCTCCAATAAGTCGTGAAACCACTTTGCCACCGTATTGGCTGTGTTCCTCTTCTTATAATCAAGGTTCAGGTGTCATCAATATATATAACTACATACCTGTAAATATGTTTCCGTTGCTGATACCCACAGCCATCGCAGGCATACGTTCCTATCTTATTTTTACCATCGTATAGTCTTGTTTGGCTCTGCTTATTTCTATGCATAGATTCTCTATAGCGACATCTTTTATGACGCGACACATAATTCGTACGTGGAGAGGTTGTGATGTGGCCACTGCACTTGACTCATGATTGTGGAAGGTCACTTTGTTCAAATCCAGGCCTGTGGTCGAATCCACTGGTCGTCTCACCGTTGCCATATAAATATTGTTGGGAGGACAACAGTAGCCATGGAAATTTCCACTTCTCACTACCAGAGGGCTGCACATAATACTGGCCGGGCTTTTGTACGAATAGATGTTGGTGTAAGTTGTGGTTGCTGTACGGTAAATAACCTCCACAATGCCTGTATCCATTTATAGCATTGTAATCCAAAAGCTAAGATTGTTACATATGAAAAGAAAACTCACTACAAGCCCACATTCTGATTTCATCTTGTAATACTATGGATATGATCTTACAATGCCAAAGCTGACCAGGGTGAAATATTTATGTTGAAAGTACAGTAAAAATGTCCTTTTCTTTTAATAGCACTTTGCTGACTGAAAATGCAGCTGTGTTTATAGTTGTGTTCAGCTTGTTGACTCCAAGGACAGTCATTAATCTAGAGGGCATTTGAGTCACATTTATTTCAATAATTATTTATTGAGATGGCTGTGGGTGGCTTAGGTCACAGCAACTGAGTTTGCACTACTGCCCACCTGGGTTCGAATCCAGTTGGCTGCTCATGATTCAACCTGGTTCTCGAGTGTCGTTGGCTTGGTGGCCTCAGCCCGATCACCGATGGCTGTGCAAACAAAACCCACCAGGTTAAATTTGGTCCCCACATAAGTTGGCGAAATTACAGCCGTGCTAATTAATATATTTGTTTGACTCTCATACAAAGAGCATTACTCTCGCATGACAGTGGGTGGGAAAGTATGGATGCGATTGTTACATGCATGATGCGGGTGAAGGATAACAAACTAAATGCAGAGCATACTATGATACCTCCTTTACCAGTAGCAAAATATAGTAATAGGTTTTTACCCTTTCTACTGGTACAAAAACTGACACCTTTATACAAATGCTTACCCCGAGCTTTCAATACTCTGATAGTGCGCTGTCTTTTAGTTTTCACGCCTTTTGGCGTCATTTGGTCCAACACCAATGGAGACAAGGCTCTAAGAAAAGCTGTCTCGGGTGTGGACCAATCAACTTCAAGGACAGTGCATATCATTATCATCATCATCATCATCAGAGTTGTTTATTTTTGTTTGCATTTTGACTGCTTGTGTTGTGGTTATTGCAAACATGATGCCTTGTATAAAGGTGTCAGTTATTGTACCATTTGAAAGGGTAAAAACCTATTACTATAAACGCAGAGCGTTAAAAAATTGTCAATACAAGTAATTGCAATTTCAGGCTAGGAATAGTGAGACTTGTCCAGATCTCGTGAACACTTTTGGATATTGTGCCATGTAAGGCTTACACGTCTCACTTGTGCCCGTGGATGCGTGCGTGCGTGCGTATGGTTGACGGTGTGCGTGGCGCGTGCAGGTAACCATTCGGCTGGGCCGCGCTCTTAGAAAAGGGGAGTACCGCGTGAAGGTTTACCAGCTGCTGCTCAAGGAGCCCGAGGTGAGTGGTGACGCCCGTGTGTCTTGTGAGGTCCTGTCAACATCGCAACAACAAGTGGACACGATAAGTGAACAGGCAACCGTTGGAAATCAGGGGGAGGAGAGGGGTCAAGCTAATAGGGCAGAACAGCCTAGCCTACCTTTAACCCGAAACAACATAGCTTACCCCTTGAGTCTAACCCTAACCTCACCACTGGTTTTAATTTTCACTTTTAGTCGTCTTAGTACGACGGATGTTAGCTTGCACATTCGGTAGACTGGCAATCTGTATGTACTGTCTGTTGACGTATTATGCCGCCGGTTTGACAAAGCCGTCTGAGAGCAACGTGGTTTAAAAGAGAAGAGCAACGTTACTTTAGAACAGGGATCGGCAACCTGCAGCTCCGGAGCCGCGTGCGGCTCTTTAAGGACTGCCGCTTCGTGGACGTTGTTCATGAAGGACCACGTCTCGTATTCACGTGCATTGCAACTCTTGAAATATCGATTTTTTTTTTTTACACAATTACAAAAAAATGCCTCTTCTTTTTATTGTGGTTGCCGACCACTGCTTTAGAAGGAGGTGATGATACCTTCTATATATTCACTGCCCATTCTACTCTACTCACTTTGCCTAATTTTCATGTTGTTTCTCATGATCTGCATATTTATTTTGTCCTGACTACCTACCCGTCCATCCCATTACGCTGGATATTCGAGATCTGACTGTAATCGTGTGCAATGTGTGCTGCAATGCCCTCTACCCAAGCCATGCAAGTTCCTCCTGGACACCGTATTTGCCAAGGGCATGTCCGTACGGCAATCCAAGGAGGAGCTGCTGCCACAGCTGCAGCAGCAGTGTGCACTGCACCTGAACATTGACAGGTACGTGTGCTCGGCTCACCGCTGCCCCTGAACCTGGGTGTTGAGGTGAGGGAAAGACAGATAATGCCCTTTAACAGACTGTCGGGGTCTACTGCTGTTCACGAAGATCACCTATGTAGGCCGGCACGTTACGAGAATGGGGTGGGTGGCCAATCTTCCACACCCGGCCGCCTTTGTCTCCCCAGTGTTGATGTTTACACACTGCACCAGGGACTCATTTAAGGCTGAGTCGACCTAAGGGGAGGTCCAAGATCGGTTCAAATATGCTTCGTTTTTATTGGTCGTGAGCGGGAATTTAACTCGGTTTGCCCGGGTTCATTGCGCAGCTTTGCGCCGCCGTTCCCCACAACTGGCACACATCTGTTCACGTGCCTCTCAGCTGATGGCAATAACGTGCAATACGAGCAGACATTGGTACCATCAACAACAAACGCCATTCGCCACTAAGTGGCGGTGATGTCACCACGGCGCTTGTGCCAGGCTATGTGCACTTTTGAGGTTATGTGAAGTCTCACAGGCGTTTGGACAGGCAAAACTAACTTTTAATCAAAACTTCAAAAATCCAGCTTTCAACCCGTCAATTCCAAGCCGTAGCTTGGTGACGTTGGGGCGGGGGGGGGAGGTGGCTAAGTGTGCGCGTGTGTCCAACTTTGGTCAGGTTCCGTTTGCGGAAGAAAACGTGGAAAAATCCCGGGACGATCTTCTTGGACACGCAGACCTACGAAGACGACATCCCCATCTTCAGCAATTGGGAAGTGTTTCTCGAACTTCTGGAAGGTAATCATCATTATTTTTCTCCTCTTGGTATTTGCGCCATTATTAAAACGCAACGATATCACAAAGACACCGTTTCACCGACAGGTATAGCCTGCCCGTAGGGGCTGTTATTGATTTGCGATTTTACCAAATGAATGAATTTACGAAACATTTTTCGTATTTGCTAAATCTGGATTATGACGCCGATACGTGGCCTCGTCTTTTTTTCCCGACGAACGTCACCGCATCTTCTGGTGACCAGACGCGCCGCATTAACCAGGGTGGCTACGGGCGGCTCATGAACCGCGAACGGCTGCAACAAGCGGGCAAGCGGCGCGCCGCTGTGCGGCCACGTCACCTCGGTGCCGGTTTGATGCGGTAACGAGTGTGTGTGTCTCCCACAGCTCCAGAGCGTATGGTGTGCATGTCCCAGCTGGCTGTGCTAGCGCGACGCTGGAAGCCTTCGACGCTGGTGCTGGAGCCATTCGAGGAGGTTGTCCTGGAGAGCAACAGCGTGGATGAGCTCAAGGAAAAGGTGCAGCTTGTGTATAAGGGGGGGCAGGGATGGAAACCCATTGTGTGTGTGTGTGCCCCAAGGTCCTGGCTATCTGTGGGCAGATCCACAAATGAGGCAATCTCAAAGTAAAAACAAATAAAATAACACGTGGTGTTCTTTTAAAGGTCATGATCAATAGTCTGTTAAAATTTGGCTTGCTATTGATTTGACGTATGATGGCTAACCAACACCATCCCAACGTGGATGAAAAAAGTCATCCCGAGTACGTCCGACACCATGGAACAGAAAGTCCGGCACTTTACCATCCGGAGTGCTCTATTAACCGGCAAGTGTTATAGACGGCGACAGCAGAGAACCGCCATGAGGCTGTGTAACAAGTACAACTCTCGATAACCGGCGTATTTGATTAACCGCCACCCTCCATTCCCCATGGATGGCTAGTTAAGAAAGCTCTGTGCTCTATTTTGTGGCCAATTCTCCATTGCCAAATGAACATAGGACACATTGTTTAAATGCTCAAGTAATTTTCCACTTTATGCTTATACCTATACCACCACTTGCCTCTTCAAAGTATCCGAAATCTACACGCCCGGAGCGTACGTCTAAAGTTTACACACCCGCCGTCCTCCCCCTTCCCCCCACCCCCCTTGTCTGCATTGTCGGCTGGTGTAAATGTTACCCGTGATAACGTAGCCCGAGAAAAAAAATCTCCACGGAGTTTGGCATCAAACGGTAAAATGAGTTGCTTAACAATCCCCTCGGCGTGCGGGTGGCGCGCTGCTCAAAGGCGCTCGCGTCGCGAGCGCGAAAAGGTCGCGAGGTCAAACAGCTGCGTGCGGCGTCAACTAGCATCTTCAATCGGTGCTAGCGGTGTTTGAACGCTTCCTCCTGTTGGGTCTCGATAGAGAGGATGCTTTTATGAAGTTAAATATTTGTTGAGAACCCCCGATGACGTCCCTCAATGGAATAACTTTGTATATTGGTGTATTTTCTTATCTTTTTCAGCTCGGTAAACTTGGTCAGATTTCTCCAGAAGATGTTGAATTTGCAAAGGTGAGAACTCTTTCCGGTGTAAAACGGGGGGGAAATCTGCCGCCAAGTTTTCCAATACTCACGCGGGAAAACGGTTCTACCCATGAGCTCGATACCACCGGATTTCCAGTTGTCATTTGTTCAGTTAGAATTGTTTGCCAAGTTGATAGGATTGATAAAAAAAAAATGTCATTGCATAAAATACTTGACCAGGATATGAAATGATGCGTTGAACATTTTCCTCCAGCAATTACGATGCAATGAATGTGACATAGAAATGACATACTCCCATGTCGTCTTCTTCCCTGCCTTCAGCAACCGGCACTGACCAGCAGTGGATTTACAAAAGGGCTGTGCAGCAAACCCTTGATATTCGCGCGTTTTATAAATCGCGGTTTTGCGTTATTCGCGGGTGCTGTGTTTTAAATATTCGCGGCCATAGCTCGCGACCACCCAACGAGAAGTACAGTAGTGTACGTACTGGGGTGAGGCATGGATCGTGAGGCCGTGAAAGTTGCCCCACTCGCGATGTCTGCCACACTGCTGACGCGCGCGACTGCTCTCCTTGACGATTTGTTTTGAATTTCGTACTAGATACTAATTATATGCTCATGTTAATTTTTTATTCGTCGATATTTGCACTTTTCAATGTCTGTGCATCATTATTAAAGGCACGTTAAATCACACAATACTATACAATACATGTATTCATTAATATATACATAGAGCTTTACATTTTATTTTTAAACCTAATATATGTTTGTGTCCCTTAACCCTATTTTCCTCATTAGCTTTAAATATTAATATTTGCAACATTCTCCAGGAGCATGTCCCTGCAAATATTAAGGGTTTACTGTGCATGTATATGTCAAACCTTTTTCCTTTGGGAGACTGGCACTCGCAACTGCCATGGGATTGTGTAATTGACTGCTGAATCATTGGCACAGACATATCCTCATGGTGGTTTGCATGTGTTGAACTCTTTTGGCTCCGTACTTAGCCAACCGTGCTAATCGGAGGTTGGGGGGAGGGGAAGAACAACAAACTAAACACATGAAGCAGTTCTAAAGAAATTAGTTTTCAATTTAGATTTTAAAATGTCAAGCTCCAGTGGCTTCCTAATATCGGAAAGAAGAGCTTTGCAGATGGCCGCAGAAGCACATATCTGAAAGTGCGCGATGCAGTGACAGTGTTTGTTCGACGGTTAGCCTAAAGCCGCTGCTGCGAGGATGACCGGAGTTCACGTGACGGTTCATTTTGAGCCAAGAACCTTGTGTGGTCTTCTTGGTTCTTTCGGTAAAGCCACGTAGAAGGGAAATAATAAAATAATAAAAATTAAACATAATCAAATAAGTCTGTCTTTCAGACCTGTTCTTCACCTTAGGATGGCTGCTTGCGTTGTGGCCGAAACGTCGTGAGAATTATTTTATTATGTTTTATTTTTAGTTTATTATTTCCCTTCTACGTGACTCTACCGAAAGTACCAAGAAGATGAATCCCTGCAGTCACGAAAGCTTTAAATCGAAATTTAACCTTGTGTGGTTTGAGCAGAGCGGCCACTTCACTTTGTTTCCCTTCTACCGAGGCTCGTAGTAATTTAAATGTAAGGAAGACCCTTTGCCTGTGGCTGTCGAAACCGCATCCTTCAGCAGCGCGCGGTGTGTTGTGGGAACAGGGCCGCGGGACGTTCCCATGCGACATCTCTGTGCTCGAGATTCACCAGGACCTGGACTGGAACCCTAAGGTGACCACACTCAATGTGTGGCCACTCTACATCTGCGACGATGGAGCTGTTGTCTTCTACAGGTAACCTTGCCCCCCCCCGTGTGGTGGGCAAACAATTTGTTTGTCGTTTTATATCAGTTACCTAAACAATTCGGTCTAGTTTCACGGCAGTGCGGCAGATGAAATCTTCCTGTTAAAAAAAAATGTCGATCACTTCTCATTGCCCGGTTTGTGGCTACAGTGTTTAGTCCCTTCATGAGGACAGATTCAAATTCCCCTCCATGCGCTGGCCTCCGTAGATGAACATGGAGTTCCACCGCATGCATGCATTGGTGCCTCGGTAGCGAGATGTTAACGACCTGACCTGGTATACTGGAGGTTGTGGATACTATCCCTATCCTGTGGTCGTGTGGATTTTTCGCCGAGTCCTCCGGTTTTCCCCTCCACATTTAGAATCAACGTGCCTTTCGAGTATTTGGCTGCAATAAATACCCACGTGATAAGCCACTTGGTTGAGCTATCATTTGTGGCCAGGTCGCTTCTGAAAAGAGCTACATAGCCACAGTGGGCCTTACCTGGTAAAATAAAAATAATTTGCTTTTCTTCGCCAACGGCTCCCACCTCTCAAATCGAAGCGAGGGGCCTCGTGCACGGTTTGATACCACTAGAGGGCGCTAGTGCTGCGTGCCTGAATGTGATAAGGTTGTGACTTGGTGGACCGTGGTGAATTTACACCCCCTCCTACCTAATACCGAATCCCACATCTTCACGGCAAACATTTGATTACAAATACGCATTGGCTCCAAGCACAGGACATGTGTTATGTCTTGCCTGTAACTTATGCGCTACTGCTCACCCGTATAGTCATATCTTACACCTGCGATAAGTCACACTCACAGGCGAGATAAAATAGTGAACGAGGAGGGATCGCTGCCCCAAAAGTGTCGCCATATGGTCTCCTTGGGCCTGGATGGCTACTTTCTATTCCAGCTTCCAATCGCACTCAGTGCTGCTTAACATCAGTGGAGTCTCGGACGAACGTACAATTTAGTCGAACGTCCCTTTAAATCAGAGCGAGGTGTTTTTGCATGCTATGTGTGCCAACAGGCAGTACCTATGCCGTTGCCCTTTCCCCGCTATCCGATTAGCACGGTTGGCTACGTACGGTGCGAAAAAGTTCAACAAACTTACGCACGCGACAAATGCTACCATCGTAGCTTTACCGTTGTCTGCACGCGCCGTCACCACCGTCGACGCTGATCATTCCCCGTGTTGTCGTCGCCGGTGCCGCCGTAGGAATCGCGACGAGGCCATCCAGGAGCTGTCGGACGAGCAGCGCAGCGAGCTGCAGAAGAAGGAGAGCATGCGGCTGCAGCGGACGGGGGGCCAGCAGGTGCCGTACTCGCCGCGCAAGGAGAAGGCCCTCAAGATCTACGTGGACGGCGGGGTCACGCGAGAGTAGTGCCCGGCCGCTGCCGGCGCCCGACCCGGCTTGGCTTGAAACTCGACGACGCAGACCCAGGGGGAGCAGGCCTGGCGCGGCGCCGATTGCCTTTGCGGGGACGGCATGGCAAGCGCGGACATGGTTGGGGTGCTCATTCGCCACGAAAGGGAGAGATGGGAAGGAGGAGGAGCAGCAGGGGAGGCGTGTAGCTGTGGAGGACTGTACCAGGCCCCCCCTTTCTTTTCCAAGAAATTGTTTGGGTTTTATTTCAACTTGGCTCGGTTGTTTACGTTACGCTTTGGTGGCCACGCAAAACATTTGTCCCGACGTGATTTCTTGTCTTCGGTAACTGACACTAGATTTGGCACCAACATACGTTGCGTCTGATTTTTCTTTGTACCGCATCTGAGGGTTGAGATCTTGACTAGAAGGCAAAAAGCTGCTACCCTTTTCAAATGTGACGCGTGTGACCGAAGTTGATTGAAGGCATGGATTTAAATGGTAAGTGAAATTGGCATGTTTGTTTCTTTTGTCCATGTGCATATACAATCATCTCGCATATACAGTAGCAACCGATTCGTTTGAACATTAAAACAGTATCCTTTCATGAACCTACGGCTGCTCTCTATTTTGAGCTTTTTAAACGTCCGAGAACGATGTTCACATGCATCTGCAATGGGTCGTAAGTCACGTGCTGAAAACCCAATGGAATAACATTTGCCACTGTGCTAGTAATGCTGAACATTCAGTCCAGCCTTGTTTTGGGACTACTACCGCACTGTAAATGAAACTGCGCACGGCATTTCACCATGTCATGTAACCCAGAAGTATGACCGTTTAAACATGTGTCATATGTTACAGGACATTGCACGGTCACTGGTTTGTGGAAACCCTTTGTGAGATTTGTAATTACGAGGCAATGAGACAACACTGAAATGCTGCTACATGCAGAACGAGAGCTTAGCTCATGCTTTGTTCATTATTGATTACAAGTCTTTGTTTTACCCCTCTTTGAGTTAAATTTTGCTCTGTTGTGTTCCCCCACCCCCCATAAGAAGGTACAATGTGGTTTTGGTTGTGACTGCTGATTGCCTGGCATCTCGCGTTGTATTTAACTTAAGCGCTCGTGTAATTACTGGTGTTTATGACTTCTGGTTTCAACGACTTGGCAGCAGTCGTCGATATTAGATGAATAAAGAGCAACATGTGGATGAAATAACCTGGAAAATAAAATGGTGTCACTCTGCCATTTTATTTGCTATACAATAAACAGTATCAATGAAAAATTAGTGAGTTTCCTTTCAAGCGTCGTTTTTTTTACTCGCAAATGCAGCGCAGCTGTTAAACATAAAAACACCTCGATGAGAGAAGCCTTGATTCACGGAGCTTGAGAAACAGCGGCGGGCACAACAAATGCGAAAGCTTGCAAGCTCAGTTTTTGAGTATCTTCATCTTCTGATGCCGTTACAGAGCTGGAGACCCACCGCGGACACGCCAAATGCAAAAGCTTGCGGCTCACTCTGAGAATCTTCGTATTCCGATACAGTTTTTTTAATGAAGCGAGGTATTTTTGCTACACCTTGCTCTTTACCCACGCAAGGTTTCTGAAGGGCCACAGCTGTGGAGGACAGACATCGTAGGTTGGGCTCAGACTTATGAACCACAACACGAATTCTATCTTCTCATTAACACTGCCGTAGAGCATCAATGTATATATGATGCACTCACATTGATACATGTGTAGTGGGTTCCACGGAGACTGGAGACGTCTTTTAGAGGCAACACGGTTTATTATAATCTTAAACAAGAACTCCCCTTAACTCCCACTACCTCGGGAGGTCCAGCCTCTGGGCTAGCGTGCCCTCACACTGGGATTCCTGGCTCTCAGCCCTCCACCTAGCAGTGCCCTAGGGGAGGCTCAACTGACCCGGGTCTCGACCACTGGTCCACGCTCGGCCCCAGCTCTTACAAGGACGTCGGGTCCCGGGGTCCCAGGGTCCTAGCCTAGCTGGTCTTCGGTTCTTCGACTTCAGAGCACTGCCCTGAGCCGACCTGAGAGCCGCCTTTTATACACCGCTCGGGGTCTCTCGACCTCCGGTACCGCCCCCTTTCTGGAACCTTCCAGTGGGCTCTGGAAGAACTCCCCAACCCCTCACCTGGGGTCGGGAGGGGGGGAGAACCCGGCCCCTCAACGGTCCGGCTCCCTCCGTCTCTCCCCAGGTCAGGGTGGCACCCCCTATGGGCCTGTGCCCGCACCTACAGGTAAGTAGACACCGGGCGGTGTGTGTGTTATGTATTTCGGTCGGTACTGTCTCCATCGTTATTTGAACCGCAGACAGCGAGTTCACCAGGGGGGCCATTCCTACTCTGCCCTCTCACCCCCTCCATACCTCTGGACACCCTTCTCAGTCAGCCTCTTCAAGAGGAGTCCTCACTCAAGTTAATCTTCCTCGCGTAAAACGTTTCAATTGGGCCTTTTGCTCGTCTGTCTTAGGTGGTTCTGCCTTTGATGATCTACCCGGCTACAGCCATGGGGCTTTCACCAGGGTTCAACATATCTTCAGCAGCCACTTGTGTCCATGAATTAGCTTGGTGTTTCCTACGCTCGCACACTTGGAATTAGCTGTCACCAATGAGCTGATCTCAGACTTGCCTACCTTAGGCCTGTTACGCGTTGGGGGGGTATGTCCTCCGTGAGACGATTATAACCACTCAAAATCAATGTAGATGTCCTACCAGGCAGCACGGCGGAATTGTCAAAGTTCTCCAAGGCCACTGGGTGAAATATTAACGATCGTGATCAAGAGTTTGGTGGTTCTTGGTAGTCGGTTTCACAACGCAGGCCCCACTGCTGTGCTCCCCCCACACAGCCCATCGGCAGATATTCTCCCGACCGTGTCGCCATCGCTCGCTGAACTCCGGTGGAACTGTGAACAGCCCCGAAATTGCTGCCGAACAGGGCTCGGCGAACGCGACCACCGCCGCCTCCATCAATGGAACGTGAAGAACGGCCCGCAACGAGACTGCAGTCACCAGAGCCGCCAGACCGTGGGTGGATCTCGTGATCCGGCGCTTTCCACGCCGCCGCCGCTTCGCGGGCAACATCATCGACGTTCGCCAAGCCCCTGGCACGGAGCCTGTTGAATGGCGTCACATCACGTCCACACGCAATGTTGCGCATTTTCACCCTGCCATAGCAAAGCCGAAGTCAACCTGTCCTCGATGGCATCGCCCTGGATGGAGAAAGCACAGCCGTGGACAGGACCCGCTCACTCCAGCTGCTCCCTGGGTGGATGCGCCAGTCTTATTGATTGCCTCCCGCGAACAGCGAGATTGCTTTTCGTATTCCAAGACGGTCAATTGCCTAAAACGTTACCGATTATATAATTTTCGTTTAAAGTCGCTGTTATTGGACTAATATGTTGAGTGTATTCGTTAATTGTGCTTGTGCACCACTGCCAAAGCAGAAACATCACCGAATAATTATGTTTGTCAGTTGCTCTTAGGGTGCCACAGTGGCGAGATGTTAACTACCTCGCCTGGTATGCAAGAAGTCGTGGGTTTGACCCGGACGCCTGCTGTATATTTCGAGTTTCCATGGTCTCCCCTTGGTCGTGTGAATTTTTCTCCGGGTCCTCCGGTTTTTCCATTTTTCCATTTAAAATCAAAATGTGTTCGGAGTATTTGGCTGCTGCTATCAATTTCAATGTGCTAAGCCACTTCGTTGAGCTATCATTAGTGATAGCCAGGTCGCTTCTGAAAAACAGCTATTGTAGCTCAGCGGGCATTACCTGGTAAAATAAAAGAGTTTAGATTTCAACGTCGCAATGTTTAAAATTCAATTGGAAAGACGCTGGAGAGATTGCAGCTTGCCCCTCTCCTGGTGAAGGGGAGAAGGGAATTTCCTGTACTCCCCCACCCTTCCCTGAGCCAATGTCCTCATGTGGAGCTCAACAGCGAAGGTGCTCCAGTCCTCCAAGAGGGTGGCAATAATTGGCTCCTCTCGCGCGGTTGATCTGTGAACGTGCCCATGTGTCACGTGCCGAATCCCAATGTCGCCCAAAGGCCCCTTCCCCCCCCAGAAGATTTGTGCCTGGCATGGCCGTGGCTTAATTGTCGTTCTTGGTGTAATCTAAGAAGAGGTTTTACCATATTCTGGCATTAGGATGTTAAAACACCAAATAGATCCTAGATTTGAAGCTTTCGTGACTGCAAGGATTCAGCTATCGTGCTGTGACGGTTCCACCTGAAGACGGAAGCTTGTGTTTGCCTTCGAAACGTCGTGATTTTTATTTTATTTGTATACATTTTTATTTTTTATCTACGTGACTTTACGGAAAAACCTAAGAATACCAAATAGATAACTTTTTGCAGGGCATCAAGTCTGCATTAACCACCACATACTAGTGGCAAACCATGCAAACAAAGATGCTCTGATAATATACACATTCTTTTTGTACTGTTCGACTACTGGCGTCCTCTGGTCTAACACTGGTAGTGAGACTCGGCCATAAAGAAGGCTGCTGTCTTTGGTGTCGGCCAATCCGTTTCAAAGACAATGCACACATAATCAAGAGCATGTGTGCATGCTTGCCATAGGTACGTGTGGTTAATGCAGACTTGATGCCTTTAAAAAATGTATCTGTTTGGTGTTTTAACATCTTAACACCTGTTTTATTGCCACAAATATTCTTATTTTTCATCATTTTTGATACTGGAAAAAAAAAGGCCCCGTAGATATTCGTGTGATCTCGTCGGTTTCCCGCTGAGCCCCGCGCGTGCCACCAACCAGAGGAATGTGCGCTCTGCTGGCCAGCAGTGGTGGTGGAGTAGCTTCCGTGTGTTTGACATATACATTTGAGTCAGAGGTCGCAAACGGGTTTTGATTCCTTACCCGTACCCGGCCGCACCAGGGTCGCAAATGGGTACCCGTAGCCGGCCGGGTACGGGTACCCGTTCCCTACCCGTACCCGTACCCTACCTGAAATGAGTGACAAACGGTTACTCACCAGTGACTCACGGCCTACCCGTACCCGGCCCGGGTACGGGTAGCCGGGTATCGGGTAGGGTACGGGTATCGGGTACCCGGTTGCGACCTCTGATTTGAGTCCAGTGCCGGAAGCTGCGGTGAACCTGCCGCGGCGTAACGGTTCGTAACACTGGATTTGGAATCCAGAGGTTCTAGAGTTAGATTCCATCTCCCGGTAAGGAAATTAAATGAACGGTGCGGTTTTTGTTCTGTTTAAATCTTCCCCATCTCTTGTCAACCCGGCGGCCTATTGGCAGGTGGTTGTGTGGTGGCGTCAAGTGTGGGCACCGCCACTGCCTCCAAGACATCTCGCCATGGTCCGGTAGATCTTGCGAAGGCCCTTCCACCAGCAGTGGTGTCAGTGAGCTATTGCAGGGCTGCACCTTTGACATTTGACCAAGGCTACATCGATGTGGAAAGTCAACAGTGGTCCTATGGAGAGTAGCCCTCGTCATGGAAATGTGGAGTTGCCACTGCTGGCCCCGGTGTGTTAATGGAGATATGTGCTGCCTAATTGTTTTGTCGGGGCCGAGGTTCGATTTCCGATTGGGGTGCCTCTCTGTGTGTCGTTTCTATGTTCTCCCTCTGCGTTGCGTGGGTTTGCTCCGGGTTATCCGGGTTCCTTCCATAGCTAAAAACCCCATACAATGGAACTGGTTTTGTCCACACTTCACAATGCTGAAAACTACCTGCAATGACTCAATTGGGAGTACACAACAACAGCATCGACCACGCACCCGCTCTGGTGGCTCAGGGGTTTTAATGGGACTTGCCGCCTCGGTGGCGAGATGTTGACTACCTCACCTGGTATGTAGAAGGTCGTGGCTTCGATCCCAACCCTGACTGCCTAGATTTGGAGGTTGCGCGTGCTCCCCGGGTCCATCGGGTTTTCTCTCCACGTCTGCTATGCATCTCGACACGATAAGCTACTTTGTTGAGCGATAATTTGTGAACAAGTCGCTTCTAAAAAGAGTCGTATTGGGCCTTGCTCTGGTAAAATACAAAATAGTAAAACGTTTTCTGCGAAAACTTGGCAGGACCCTCCTGGAAACGAGTTGCGACGTTGAGAGTTTCCCTGAGTAGAAAGAAAAACGTGTAATGATAATAATTGTCCAATCTCATTGAGTCGGAATACTGCTCCATCTTCTTGCCAACGTGCCAATCACAATCCGTCTCTCCTCCGTGCTGACGAGCCACCACTGCTCTTAAGCAATGCACTCTTCTTAATTAATGTACTTCATGTTCTCTTGTCCACCGTGTGAGGCCGCTGCTAATGGCGGTGAAGTGTTTTCGGCCGGTGCAATTAGCCGCAGCTGAGAAGAAGCCATTAATTACAGACCCCTGCAATGAATGCCCTTCTTCCTCGGCGCTGTCGTTGACTACCACTGGTTACTGGGACGCTCCCATTGCATGCGAATATTCCAGCGATGTGTATAGCAAACTAAGTAAGCAGACAGTGTCTCCTTCTAGATTTGAAGCTTTCGTGACTGCAAGGATTCATATTCTTAGGTTTTTTCGGTAAAGTCACGTAGGTAAAAAATTAAAGTTAATAAAAGTATTTTATTCTTATTTTACTTTTATTAACTTTAATTTTTTACCTACGTGACTTTACCGAAAAAACCTAAGAATATAGTGTCTCCTTCACGTATGCTCTGGGTCGCGTAAGAAATCATCTTACATTGTTCATGTGCAGGCACTGGCATTGGAAGAAGACGGACGGCCCGTTTGTCTAGTTAGTTATATTCACCACAACTGACGCTCGTGATAATGCAGTTAGCTTACTTGACACCCTTTTAGACTTGGATTTTTTTAAAATAAATATAAATGAATGGAAGAATTGTGATATATGCCCCTTGATAATACGTCAGTAATAACACCGAGTGTGTGAATGACAGTTAGCTGTAGGCTGATGTATATTTAACCGCTGATGTCCTGGTAGTTCTCGACTTACAAACACCCGCACTTACGAAGACCCGCACTTACGAACCAGCTACTATGAAGTTTGTGTTTTTGTGTTTTTTGAAACATGGACTTAAAATGCGAGCTCGCACTTGCAAAGTGAATCGTGGAACTATTTTGTTCAGTGGAGCGATCCTCAGTGTGATGTAATAAGTCAGCCTCGCGCTGGGAGTGTCTGTGTGTGTGAAAGTGAATGTGTGAAAGTGAGTGTGTGAGCGTGTGTGTGTGAACGTGTGTGTGTGTGAACGTGTGTGTGTGAGCGTGTGTGTGTGAAAGTGTGCGTGTGAAAGTGAGCGTGTGTGTGTGTGAAAGTGAGTGTGTGTGTGTGAAAGTGAGTGTGTGAAAGTGAGTGTGTGAAAGTGAGCGTGTGTGAAAGTGAGCGTGTGTGAAAGTGAGCGTGTGTGAAAGTGAGCGTGTGTGAAAGTGAGCGTGTGTGAAAGTGAGCGTGTGTGTGTGAAAGTGAGTGTGTGAGCGTGTGTGTGTGAAAGTGAGTGTGTGTGTGTGAAAGTGAGCGTGTGTGAAAGTGAGCGTGTGTGAAAGTGAGCGTGTGTGAAAGTGAGCGTGTGTGAAAGTGAGCGTGTGTGAAAGTGAGCGTGTGTGAAAGTGAGCGTGCGTGAAAGTGAGCGTGTGTGTGTGAAAGTGAGTGTGTGAGCGTGTGTGTGTGAAAGTGAGTGTGTGAGCGTGTGTGTGTGAAAGTGAGTGTGTGAGCGTGTGTGTGTGAAAGTGAGTGTGTGAGCGTGTGTGTGTGAAAGTGAGTGTGTGAGCGTGTGTGTGTGAAAGTGAGTGTGTGAGCGTGTGTGTGTGAAAGTGAGCGTGTGTGAAAGTGAGCGTGTGTGAAAGTGAGCGTGTGTGAAAGTGAGCGTGTGTGAAAGTGAGCGTGTGTGAAAGTGAGCGTGTGTGTGTGAAAGTGAGCGTGTGAGCGTGTGTGTGTGAAAGTGAGTGTGTGAGCGTGTGTGTGTGAAAGTGAGTGTGTGAGCGTGTGTGTGTGAAAGTGAGTGTGTGTGAAAGTGAGCGTGTGTGAAAGTGAGTGTGTGTGAAAGTGAGCGTGTGTGAAAGTGAGCGTGTGTGAAAGTGAGCGTGTGTGAAAGTGAGCGTGTGTGAAAGTGAGCGTGTGTGAAAGTGAGCGTGTGTGTGTGAAAGTGAGCGTGTGAGCGTGTGTGTGTGAAAGTGAGTGTGTGAGCGTGTGTGTGTGAAAGTGAGTGTGTGAGCGTGTGTGTGTGAAAGTGAGTGTGTGAGCGTGTGTGTGTGAAAGTGAGTGTGTGAAAGTGAGTGTGTGAGCGTGTGTGTGTGAAAGTGAGTGTGTGAGCGTGTGTGTGTGAGCGTGTGTGTGTGAAAGTGAGGGTGTGAGCGTGTGTGTGTGAAAGTGAGTGTGTGAGCGTGTGTGTGTGAGCGTGTGTGTGTGAAAGTGAGTGTGTGAGCGTGTGTGTGTGAAAGTGAGTGTGTGAGCGTGGGGGGACACGGGGGGGAGGGAGAAAGAGGCTCGGGAGGGGGAGGGAGGTGGAGACGCGAGGGGGGAGATGGGGACACCGGGAGGAGGTTGTCGAGAGGAGGCACGAGGAGGGAGCGATGGAGACGTGAGGTGGGAGGGGGAGGAGGAGGAGACACGAGAGGGAGGAGGCGGAGTGCCCAGTGAGGAGCTGCTCCTGCTGCTGCTGCTCTGGGTGCGCCACTTCTCGGCGCTGCTGCTGCTGAATCTGAGCGCTCCGCTCCGGGTGTCCGCGCCGCGTCCATGAACTCAGCAGGTACAGCGCCTGCTGCTGCTGTTCCTGCCGCTGCTGCTGCTCCTCCTACTGCTCCTGCTGCTGTTCCTGCCGCTGCTGCTGCTTCTGCTGTTGCTCCTGCCGCTGCTGCTCCTGCTCCTGCTGTTGCTCCTGCTGCTCCTGCTGTTGCTGCTGCTGCTGCTGTTCCTGCCGCTGCTGCTGCTTCTGCTGCTGCTCCTGCCGCTGCTGCTCCTCCTCCTGCTGTTGCTCCTGCTGCTCCTGCTGTTGCTCCTGCTGCTTCTCCTGCTGCTGCTGCTCCTGCTGTTCCTGCTGCTGCTGCTCCTGCTGTTGCTGCTGCTCCTGCTGTTGCTGCTGTTGCTGCTCCTGCTGTTGCTGCTGCTTCTCCTACTGCTGCTGCTGCTCCTGCTGTTGCTGCTCCTGCTGCTGCTGCTCCTGCTGTTGCTGCTGCTGCTCCTGCTGTTGCTCCTGCTGCTGCTGTTGCTGCTGCTTCTCCTACTGCTGCTGCTGCTCCTGCTGTTGCTGCTCCTGCTGCTGCTGCTCCTGCTGTTACTGCTGCTGCTCCTGCTGTTGCTCCTGCTGCTGCTGCTCCTGCTCCTGCTGTTGCTGCTCCTGCTGCTGCTGCTTCTGCTGCTGCTGCTGTTGCTGCTGTTGCTGCTGCTCCTGCTGCTGCTGCTGCTCCTGCTACTGCTGCTGCTGCTCCTGCTGCTGCTCCTGCTGCTGCTCCTACTGCTACTGCTGCTGCTCCTGCTGCTGCTGCTACTGCTGCTGCTGCTACTGCTGCTGCTGCTACTGCTGCTGCTGCTACTGCTGCTCCTGCTGCTGCTCCTGCTGCTGCTGCTCCTGCTACTGCTGCTGCTGCTCCTGCTGCTGCTCCTGCTGCTGCTCCTACTGCTGCTCCTGCCGTTGCTGCTGCTCCTCCTGCTGTTGCTGCTGCTGCTCCTGCTGCTGCTCCTACTGCTGCTCCTGCTGTTGCTGCTGCTCCTGCTGCTGTTGCTGCTGCTGCTCCTGCTGCTGCTCCTGCTGCTACTGCTGCTCCTGCTGCTGCTCCTGCTGCTGTTGCTGCTGCTACTGCTGCTCCTGCTGCTGCTGTTGCTGCTGTTGCTGCTGCTACTGCTGCTCCTGCTGCTGCTCCTGCTGCTGCTGCTACTGCTGCTGCTTCTGCTGCTGCTTCTCATGCAAGGCTATGGTGTGAACCTATTGGTGTGAAGGTCTGAAGGTATATAGTATATACAGTATATAGTATATACAGTATATAGTATATACAGTATATCGTATAAGGTTATGAAGTGAGGGTCTGAAGATAAAGGTGTGAAAGTATGAAGTGAGTGAAAGGGGTGCTATGTGAGTGTATGGCATGAGGGTGTGCTGTTGGATTATGGGGGTAAAAGTGAGACTCTATGACGCGAGTGAATGGGGTATTCGAGGGTAATAAATAACTAACAACTATTTATTTTAGCAGGTAAGACCCACTGAGCTATATCGATCTTTTTCAGACGCGACCTGTCCACAGATGATAGCTCAACGAAGTGGCTTATCGCCGTGTGGAAATTTATAGCAGCAGAAAATACTCTAAACGCGTGGTGATGTCGATTCTAAATGTGGAGGGAAAAACCGGAGGACCCGGAGAAAAATACACACGACCACACGGGGAGAGAGAGACACGCAAACTCCAAATCTACAGCAGCAGGGGTCAGGGTAGGGATCGAACCCACGACCTCCTGCACACCAGGCGAGGTAGTCAACATCTCCTAGCCACCGTGACGCTTGTGATGGTAATGTGTGAGTGTATGATGGTGTGATAGCGTGATGGGGGTGTGAGGATATGCTGTTAGGATATATGAGTGCTTGTTGTGATATCGTCACCACGATTATCGCGATTATCGCCGCGTGCCCCGTCAGCCTTGTAAGGGGGCAAGGGCTGTTCGGTGAAGACTCGGCACGCGAGGCGGTCGAGTGGCCGTCACCACGCCCGCCTGCCCCGGCCGCCTTTGTCTGTCCCACCACAGACGTTTACGCACCAGGCACTGCGCTCGTTTAAGGCCGAGTCGACGTAGGGGAGGGCCCCCCAAGACATTGTGCGGATGTTGGTCTCGGTGCCGATGTTGGGGGTCGTGAGCGGGGATCGAACTCGGCTCGTCGGGGTTCGTGGCGCGCACGTGGTCACTGGTTTGAACGAGGGCTCTTTATCTTCTTGGTTCTTTCGGTAAAGTCACGTAGAAGGGAAATAATAAAATAATAAAAATAAAACATAATAAAATAATTCTCACGACGTTTCGGCCACAACGCAAGCAGCCGTCCTCAGGTGAAGAACAGGTCTGTCGGGAAGACAGCGTCTGAATGAGCTACTTTACTTGCATCGTGCGATTATAGCTTCACGTGATGTGTCTCGCCGTTAGTCTGTGCAGGAAATCATGATACAAAGGGTTAACTTGATTGGTAATTAGTGCGCAGCTAACTGTACAAAACAATTGTATTTATAACACTATGTAACATGATTTTTGTCCCTGGGTAGTAAGTGTTATTTTTAAATTGCTTATGCCTAAAAAGGTATAGGCAATGGCGATTATTCCCCACATTTTTCCTGAAGAAGACGACGGCTTGTGTTGCGATCGAAACGTCGTAGTTTTTTATTATTTTTTTTGAACCTATCTACGTGACTTTACTGAAAGACTCAAAGAATATGAATTCATGCAGTCACGAAAGCTTTAAGTCAAGATTCCCCACATATTTAGCTTTTGTGTCCAGGACTTTATGTGAAGGAATGACACAAATGCACACCACGTTTTCTCATTGAAAATAGGTACATTTTAAAATATCAATGTCCTCCATAATAGAGGTTTTTGGGTTAGATCGCGTAAATATATGAATGTGTCGTTAAAACCCGCCACCACCCGACACAGCCAACTAGTAAGGGTTGTCACGTAAACAGAACGTGGCCAATTCTTCACTAGTACAGCACTAGTGTGTAGTGTATAGTGTAGTGCATAGTAGTGTATAGTGTAGTGCATAGTGTAGTGTACTAGTACAGCACACCAGTGTGTTGGGGAGCCAAGCCACAACATTTACAAACTGAGTACGACGTTTCGCCAGTAATTACAACGAGCTTCATCGGGCAACAGCCAGATTTGTGGAGAAGTCCACCTGTTTCGTTCCTTATATCAAGGCGTAGATATGTGGACCACCCTTCTGCGCTCTTGCGCAATGTGACAACCCTTACTAGTTGGCTGTGTCGGGTGGTGGCGGGTTTTAACGACACATTTATCTGTTTACGCGATCTAACCCAAAAATCTCTATTATGGATGATATTAGTTGCGAAAGTCCACGTATTAAATATCACTGTCCTGGTCACAAAAGCAAAGTTTGTGGGGAATAATAGCCATTTTCTGTATTTTAGAGGCATAAGCAATTAGGAAATAACACTTACTACCCAGGAACAAAAACTAATTTTGTTACAGTGTTATTAATATGAACTTTACGACTAATTCATGTTTCGGTCTCGATATAATGCTTCAACAAATTAAACGAGCGCGGATAATCGCGACGTTAGTTCACAAAGCGTACCCGTAGGATTCTCGTGGTCCCCGATCTTACGACGGTGTATTCCGTGGTGTCGCTGTATCGTGTAGAACCTCTCGTGGTGGTGGTGGCCGGAGGGAGGGAGGGGGGTGTTATAGGTGATGGTGCGATTCTTGATTCCGCGGGCTGCGTGATGTTCTATTAGCTACCATGTTTGTTTACATTTTAACCAGGTAAAGCCCACTGAGCAATATAATGATTTTATTCAGAAGCGACCTGGCCACAAATGATAGCTCAACAAAGTGGCTTAACGCGAGGTGGTTTATAGCAGTAGCCAAATACTCTCAATGGACGTTGATTCTAAATGTGCAGGGAAAAACTGGAAGACCTGGAGAAAAGTCCACGCGACTACGGGGAGAGAGAGAGAGACACGCAAACTCTTTAGGAGCACGCCGATTGAGGCGACATCCATCCTCCTGTAACCGCTCGATGGTGGCTGCCGACTGCCCGTGCGTAATCCAGAATTGGGGAGGCAGTGGAGGATTTTGGGTTGATGGCAGAAATGTTGTGACGCTCCCATTTCTGTGCGGGCGTCTCGGAGGTGCTTATTCTCTGGCTTGCCAAGAGGAAGGCAGTACAGCAAGTGGGAACTAGTCTTCGTCTGTTCCGATCTGCATGGGATAGAGTGTTGCCCCCTTCCACGTGTGGGTGTTTTTGTTGTTTCCGAGTACTCCGGATCCCTTCCAAATGTAGCGACATCGTTGGATGTCACTTTGTGAAGCCGACCTGGGAGAGGCACGGCGCGCGGTGAAGGTGGATGCACGCAGCCCGGGGTGTCAGCCCCTACAGGATAGAGTGGGGGGGTGTCAGCCCCTACAGGATAGAGTGGGAGGTGTCAGCCCCTACAGAATAGAGTGGGGGGTGTCAGCCCCTACAGGATAGAGTGGGGAGGTGTCAGCCCCTACAGGATAGAGTGGGGGGTGTCAGCCCCTACAGAATAGAGTGGGGGGTGTCAGCCCCTACAGAATAGAGTGGGGGGTGTCAGCCCCTACAGGATAGAGTGGGAGGGTGTCAGCCCCTACAGAATAGAGTGGGAGGTGTCAGCCCCTACAGGATAGAGTGGGGAGGTGTCAGCCCCTACAGAATAGAGTGGGGGGTGTCAGCCCCTACAGGATAGAGTGGGGAGGTGTCAGCCCCTACAGAATAGAGTGGGGGGTGTCAGCCCCTACAAGATAGAGTGGGAGGTGTCAGCCCCTACAGGATAGAGTGGGGGGGTGTCAGCCCCTACAGGACAGAGTGGGAGGGTGTCAGCCCCTACAAGATAGAGTGGGAGGTGTCAGCCCCTACAGAATAGAGTGGGGGGGTGTCAGCCCCTACAAGATAGAGTGGGAGGTGTCAGCCCCTACAGGACAGAGTGGGGGGGTGTCAGCCCCTACAGGATAGAGTGGGGGGGTGTCAGCCCCTACAGGACAGAGTGGGAGGGTGTCAGCTCCTACAGGACAGAG